TAATAACAATAATAAAAAGAAAACAAGTCAAAGCTTTTCTTTTATAATAATATAGCTATATGAATTCGTAATTATCGCGATGCATCATCAAGTATGTTTTCAAATTAAATTTTGCAAGCGTAGTAAGACATTGCATACCAGTTAAGTTCCGTTGTACAGAAGATGCTTAACCCGTAGGAGAAAAGAAAAGAAAACAGAAATTATTAGTTCATTCATAACACTGTAATCGTTGATAGAGAAAAAAAATAGAACAAAGCTAGGAAACTGTATCTGCACAAGCGCATATGTTTGAGAACAGAGATGGCGTGATGGGTGAAGGAGCTCGCCTACTAGTGCATGACTCATTGCGTTGACATATAGATATTTTTTTTAATGATTTTCTAAAGAAAGCTTTAAGATGATTGTTCCAGACCTCGTCAATTCCCTCTCCCCCCTCTCACTCCCCGGACTGGTTCCTAAACCTCCTTGAAGAAAAACTCTTCTGAAGATGTTGTGACGGTTGTCGGCAAGCGGAGCTCTTCGTTCGGGAGAAACGACAAAAAGGGAGGGCACATGTTTCTCTATTATTAATCGCCTATAAGTTTGCAGTATTTACGCAAGGTAGTTTTTTCTCTTGCGAGCAAGGTTTCAAAATCAGTTTAACTTGCTCCTCCAGATTTGGTCGGTCGAAAGGATCGAGTCGTGGTCCAATTGTAGAGTGAATTATCTTGAATACATATGTACGCTTCGTTACTAAGTCACGATTTATTCACTTGATTTATCGATTTTACTACAACGCTTCGGTTAACTCTCACTCACAACTCTCGGCTTATTCGAAAGAAACACATTAAATGTCCTGTTGTTAGCACGTGGAACAGTGCCATATATGGGGCGATAAAACCCGCATACATGTTTGTTTGGTTATGTGTAGATAAACGAAATAACTGTCAATCAAATTAAGAATAATTAACGTATTGTTCAGTTTCCAACACATGGCCGAATACAACTCCTATGCCCCTACGTTTTGTGGAGATGTCTCATCCAAACTCTACCTTGAAAGTTTTATCGCTGAATAACTTGACCACATGTCGTCATATCTATATTTACTTTCATAGAGCTTTTATTTCTCGGCAAAATTAACAGACCTATTTTAGGTCAGACTACTTCATAGGGAGCATTGAAATTGAACTGAAATAGATAACATTTATGAATGATAAAGAGAAATCAGCTCACTTTCCTAAATTTTTTTAGATAGTTCGCTGTTGTTGAAATCGAAATTTTATAAGATGCTAAATGACAGAGCCGACGGAAGCGTTTTTTTTCTTAGATATGGTAAGACTTCCTAGAGCCATTTTTTTTATGAACCACACGCTTCAGTTTGTAAAATGTTTACATGAACACAAAGGAAACGAAACACTGGCTTCATCCCGCTGGTTCTGTTGTTATAGCCAACTATATAATCATTGTCCTCGCCCGATAAAAATTTTTTTCTAAACATTACTCAGTAACCACAACTTTAACGTCTGTGGCCACAATTTTATAAAATGTTTCCCTTGCGGTAAACCTTCTTAATTCGGGAAGAACATTCAAGTTGATTTAACAAATATGTTTGCCGGCTGTAAACCGCGCTTTTATGAACAGGAAACGATCGTTTTCCGGCTGTTTACCGTGAAGAAAAACCGCCGGATAATGGAACGAATACTTTCATTAAGCAACTGGAAAGCAACGTGGAAATTTTGGATTATCCTTTTAGAACTTGTTTGAAAGTGTTCGCATAATCTCGCTTTTTCCAAGAGTAAGAGCTCATTTTCCGTTCAAGTGAACATCATCTTTTTCTGTTTTGATATGAATAAATAGGTAATACTTATTCAAAGGGAAAGTACGGTCTAGAAAAAGTTTACTTAAATCAAAAGTTCCTTAATTGCATTTTCCTGATTGGCCATCCATTTGAGCTAAAAACGTTTTTGTTACGAGTATCCCGTTTCAAAAATTGACATTTTCAAATTAAAAATCCTTAAGTTAACCTTTTTTTTATATTCAATACAAATTTCACTTGAAGTTTGTTGTCAGTTTTCTCAATAATAATCAGTAATACAGTATTAATCAGAGCGAATTCATTAAATGGCTGAGGAAACCAAAAAACGAATGAGTACTTCCTGTGCTGTTTCATTTACACTTCATAAAATTTCATTCTTCGTTATTTCAGCCTTATCGTATTCAGGCAAATCACGCTGGTTCAAACGGGTTTCAACCTTGCTGAACATGTCGACCGTATCTTCGCTAAATTAGAATCTGCGGGATATTATGACGACTGCCGCTTGCCCTTTTTTACTGCTTGCATTTGGTGTTGCTAATGCTACTGAAGACCAAGTCACTGATGGTAAGCACATTCATCCTAAAGTATATTATTAAACTTTGACTTCATCTCGGTGTAATATAAACTGAAGGCAATCAAACGTGTACACTGTAATTTTGCAAGAAATGTGAACAAGGTCGACGGATGGTTAGGGAAACATTTGAATAGGATATAAGTCGATTATTATAAGTTGATATTCTACAAACCAGCTTCACTCAGCTTCTGTCAGCTCTGTTTCTTAAACATCTAAACATTTTCGATTATCTCTGCGCTAAACTTGAATCTACAGGATATTTTGAGAACCGCGAAATGCGCCATATTTCTGCTTGCATTTGGTGTCACCGATGCTACTGAAGATCATGTCACCAATTATAAGCACATTTCTCCCTAGGTATTAAATCATTCTTTGAATTCATCCATGTAAAATATGAACTAAAGGTCCTCGAACGTGTACACCATAAAATTAATGTATCTTTCTTAAGGGGACTCCGCTCGAACTGTTTCAATGCTTTTCTTTGAAAGTGTGTTAGGATTGTACAAATTTGGCAGGAAAAAGCGAACAGGGTCGACGGATGGGTTGAGGAAAAAAAATTGCAAAGTACATGAGTCGATCATCAAAACTTGATCCTCTAGCGTTTTATTTCTTGCCGGTATAAGCATTGTTTTCTTTAGATAATATTGATTGCCAACTGATTTCAATTAAGTCGGTCGCTTCGTTAGTTTTTGCCAGCGCCCTGTCACTTTTGTTTAAGCGTCACTCACTACCGGAACTGGTTATGCCAAAAATTGTAATTTCGTTTCTATTTCATACAGCTTTGTCATTATTCTTGTTACTCTATTTGTACTAAGACATTAATATTATTAGTAGTGTTAGTATGATAACCCCTACGTATCTGTATTCGTTGTAATAATGCAGAAACAGAGTTCAAGTTCACCTCTATCTCATTAAAAATGGGATTAAAAGGGAAGGGAAGGTGGATGCCACCCCTCAGACGTATTTTGACTTATGTAGTGACCAAACTTGGAAATTCAGTTTCTTTCACCCAATCCTTACTGCAACATAGCAGATGTAAAAACTTTCGTGTGTGTCCGAGGGTTTTATTCAGTTCTCCATCTGTGTGTAGCTTTTTCTAATTCTTAAGTGATATAACAAAATTTAAAGATAGGTAAATAAATAATTTTTCCTTGTTTGTCTTTCTTCTCTTTTATCGATCGGCTTCCCATAAAAATCAGTTACTGTCTGCTCCAAGTATTCTTTCCACGAGGAAAACGTTGATTGGAGTACAGCCAGGGAAAGATATCAAGGGAATGGTTCACTTGTCTCTATGGAAACCGAATCAGAATGGCACTTTGTCAAGAACTTAATCAAAAAGCGAAGAAAAGTCCGTTGGTTCATTGGCTTGGAAAGAGTTAATAGATCTCATTCATTGAGCTGGTTGAGTGAAAGCAACGCCTGCGTCAACGAGACGTCAGCTGGAACATGGCGTTGGAGTAAAGGAGAACCAAACAATTTTAAAACAGAAAAAATGTGGAGAGATGATGAAAAACTGAAAGTATAACAACATAAAGTGCCAAGCAGACACGAATGATGAGAATCCAGGATATATATGTGAAAAGCAAGTCAGCAAGTTCATGATCATGCCGAAGCTATGTTAACCCAATTAAAAATCTCAGTAAGAAAAAAAAAATGTTGTAAGCGAACTTTGATTTTGAAGCGAGTAACTCGTGTTAATATTTTCTTCCTAGATTGTTCCACCGTATCCAACAATTCAGAAAATGACGATACCTTCATTGAGAGAACAACACGACCTCGATCAACCTCCCAACCGCTGGCGACAAAGAAAACGTCCACCTCCCTCAGAACTGAATTGACGAATACTCACAATAAGCTTTCAGAAGGTAAGATTTACTTCGACAGAAATTTTAACTATACAGAATTAGCAAAATTAATACGCGATTCCAGTTGCTATAAATCAAGCTTTAAAACATGCAAACGCCAGTAAACTCCCTTATTGGGTAAGAATAAAACAAATTAGAAGCGATGTTTTGAGCGTTTTAATGGACTATTAAAATGTATTTTTTCTACAAGTGTCCCGCTTAAGGGGAAGATTCTATAAAGAAGGAATCATTCTTCTACCATTTTACACCTAGACGCCCTGGCAGCGACTATCAATTTCGGCATCTCGTGCAATTTCGAGGACGATTCGTCACGTAATAATTTAATCCGAAAGGCTTTCGCTCCTAGTCTGTGACTGTCAGATAGATATTAAGATGATAATGATTATCATTATTATATTTGGATCAGTTTTTCTCAAAGAAAGAAACGTTCGGAGAATATCTGCTCGTGACAACTGGTGATTCATTCTGCAAAAAAAAGAAAAAAAAAATGAATGTTTCCCTCTAGTTTTTCCTCAACTAACTTGAGCGTATTGGCAGCATGATGGTTTTCTTGTAAAAAAGGAAAATTATTGGTTCTCGAACTACCTTGCTTTCAGTGACTCAACTTGAAGAAACTCAAACGAATGCTTAAGAGTGACTATGGAAAAATAAAAAAAATGGTAGGGCTAGCCACCATTCTCCTATTTGATTGACTAGCCAAACCAGAAGGACTTCTATCTTGAGGGTAACTGCGGGTAACTCTGATATCGTTACTCGCTGTCCTATTTCAGACATAAATGAATGCAACAACAACAATGGCGGCTGTAATCAGCTTTGCAGAAATAATTTTGGACGTTATCACTGTGAGTGCTCCATGGGATTCAAGCTTTCACAGGATAACTATACTGGCGTTGGTAAGAGCCTTAGGTAATGATTTTTATTATAACAGATTTATAATCCCTTTCTCAAAATTAAGCTAAATCTTTGAGTTTATAAAGACTTCGCTACCCGGCTTGCTTTAAGTTCTTCGTGCAAACGTTATACATGTTTTTTATTTTTAATAGGTACGATAAGCGATTCCTTTTTAAGGACCAGACATTATCCATGTACGACGGGGGGGGGGGGAGGGTGTTAAGGGTTATCTGGGAGGGTTCCTTAAGGGGAAAGAAGGGAGGGGGGAAAGAAGGGAGGATAAGCTGTCGCAGACAGAACATGAAGGGAAACTATAGAAAGTTGGCTGCCAATTTACTGCCAACAAGGAAGGGTTATAAGAATGTTATAAAGCCTTATGGGAGATCAGGTAAATTTTATCGTGACTTAACCATTATTCCCCCCTCCCCACCTCAGGCGATAAAGAATGACCACTACCTATAGTTTTCTTATCGCTCTGTCTTAGATATCGATGAATGTGCAGTTGATAATGGCGGGCGTAGTTATGGATGCCATAATCTTCAAGGATGCTACATCTGCACCTGCCCTATCGGATTTGAGTTGGATCGAACGCAAAAGAACTGCAAAGGTATTTAGTTTTTTCCCTTCATAAATATACAGGTCAGACCAAAATTAAACAAGAATGTTCGTTCTTTAATTCGAAAAGCATGTTATTTACTTGCTTTACGGCTGGTGATTTACAAGCTTTACTCGCGCTCTCCCAACGTTCCGGGTGGCTTTATCGCGTAATAAAACCCAAGAATACATTTTCTTTTTTATTAATAATTGTCATGGTTTTGTTGATCTTTCATAGATTCAAATGAATGCTTGCTGGCCAATGGTGGCTGCGAGACTAAATGCCCCAATACCAATGGAAGCTATTACTGCTCGTGTAACTATGGCTTTGAGTTATACGATACATTCAAATGTAGAGGTAAAATATGAGGAATATATTGTAATGTGTGGCATTAAGTATGGGATCAGTTACCTTTGACATAAATTGGTAAAATTTATTCCCAAACAGAAGCTGCTGTTCCGATTAAAAAAAAGTAAATGAAAAAATGAATAAATAAATAAAAGAGGGCCTTGCCCATCTTGATCCAACCGCTGAGCTAACTCGCTAGTAAACTCTTGAGGCCCGTTTATTTAAAGTCTAGGGCGTGAAATTGCACCTAATATAGGCGCCAATGCGACTAAATGTTTACTGTGAGGACCAAATCCTGAAAACTAGTCGCCAAATTGGCGACCAGAATGTTTCATCATAGCCATACCTAAAGATGCAGTGAATAAAAAAGATTTGCAAAGATAAATCCGCGGCAAACTTTTTCGCTAAGTTCGCTTCCAAATCGCGGCACATGTATTTCGATCGATAACTCGACGCCATCTTGGATTTAGGTGAGTTTGAAAGTTGTATATCATCCATCCTAGTATCCACTTTGAAGAACTTTGCAGAACTCAATTTTAGAATATATCTAGAACGCTGACAGCGTAAAAAAAATGTTTTTTTGTCTTAAAGAATGGCGACCAACTTTTTTTGAATTGGCTACCCTCTTTGAAAAATTTAGGAGCCAAGTGGCTATCAGAAAAAAAAAAAAAAAAAAAATTAATTGTACGCCATGAAGTCTCGAAGTCAATTTGTTACTTTAGCTGATAGCTTTATCATAGAATTTTGAAAACTTTTGAAACTACCATATTGCAAGAAAACAGAACTTACAGCTTTAATGTTTTGTTACTGGAACCTTCGAGACACGACCTATAGCTCCTCTGATGATCAATTTTTTCTTGATAGTGAGACTTTTGGAATGTACCTCTCCTATATTCGAACAAAAATATTTATTCCCCTCTTTCCTTATTTTTCCAACGTTTAATATCCTTTTATCAAGCCAATGGGTTAAACATACAGTGCAATCGTTGTTGATGTCACTTTATGTTTAATTTAATTAATTTTTAATGAGTTATATCTTTACAGATATTGACGAATGCTCTCGAAATACTGACAATTGTAACGAGACCTCTACAAGCTGCCAAAATTTCCAAGGAGGATACGAGTGTCCCCGCAAGAGTGGCTTCAAACACAAACAGGGAGACTCATACAATTGTGACTGTAAGTACCATATCAGTGATGGTCCTGTAGGATTGATTTTTCTATTAAGTGTCGAATGTAGTTTAGAATTTAATTGAATGTCCTAATTTTGCTACTTTATTGGCTCAAAGCAACAAAGGCAACGCATGTCACCTTCTCGACCAAAAAGGTGCAATACTTGAGGACCCGTTCATTGATTTGGGAACTTTCATCTACCCGCCCTTGACCGGCTTAATTATCTAACCATTGAGTTTCCATTGCTTCCTTTCGTAATTTCTTTTTCTCTGACCTGGATTTATTAACTTTCGTATCCTATCTGTTGGTTACTCAATCGAATAGCACTTTTGATCGATGGATCTTCATTATTGACCCCGTTCTACTTGATTCCACGCACAAGATTATCGAAGTATATTTTATGTTCACATTCTACCCCCAGCCAGGGGGACGACGGATTGTCTTCATTGTTGGAGTAACCAATACAAATGGCTTTAATCATTTCCCAGACATGTGAAGTGAATTTTTGCCTTATTATCGCAAATTACTAAATTTATCCTTGATTTCAAGTTAACACTTGAAGGTAATACCTTGTGATATAATAATTTTCGTCATCTTAGTGATTATAGCATTTCTAGATTGAGTTTCATAAAAGCGAAACCAAAGTGATAACAACGACCATATATAATTGTAGGAGAAAGGAAAACGCCTTTAAGAGCCAGTAGGAACTCAAAGCTTAACCAACCAAAATACTCATCAACCTAATATAGTGGTATAAACGATGAGTGACGTGTCAGCAGCTGATTGGCGATAACAAACACACCTAAAAAATGATTACAATTTTACATGCGAGCAGTTACGGCTTTTCCCAGGGCTGGAAATCAAAGTAAAACACCGCAGTTCATGAAATGAAATATTTCCATATATTTTTTTAATTTTTTTACTTTTGAAGTCATCACTTGCCCAGCCCTCTTGGAGTCTATGGGCACATCTGTGAGTCCTAAGCCTCAATGCTTAGTCGTTGGCGGCAGGAAAGTGAATGAGACTTGCAAGTTTAGTTGTAACAATGGATACGAGCTTCCAGATCCAAAGAAGGACACCCTCACCTGTTTGGTAACGGGTTCATGGGATGCACCCATCATAAATTGCCAACGTAAGTCTCGAAGATTAATTGGGAGTGTTTCTTTATATTTCGAAAGGGAACTGAGGTGTGCATGTTATATTTTTAGAATGAAAAATGAATGAAGTCAAATAACTTTGCTATCACTAGCTTTTGCTTTGCTTGTTAGGTTGTTTCTTTCATTTAATTTAGTTTTTTTTTGCCGCTGTTTTGATTTTTTTTTAAGCAATGCCAGTAGTAGTAATAGTAGTAGTAGTAGTAGTAGTAGTAGTAATAGTGGTAGTAGTAGTAATAGTTGTAGAAGTAGTTGTAGTGGCAGTAGAAACCCAAGATAATTTACTCTATTGTTTACATATTATCTTTTCTTCCAGGTATAACATGCCCAGCCTTACCTCCTATTCAAAATGGGGACCTACTTCCGGATATTTGCCCAATTTCCGGAAATAGTTTTGGCAGCAGTTGCGTTTACAGTTGCAAATCAGGTTATAAATTGACCGGCGTGGGTACGAAAACGTGCCAAGCGAATGGAGAGTGGGACGACAAAACTACACCGAGTTGTAACAAAGGTAAATGTTTAATCGGCAATGGGGAATGAGGTCAAAATTAGCCGAATTCCGAGGTAGCTATTTATCGATATCCTTGCTAGTCGGTTTGGTGTCTCCATAATTTGTTCCTTTTAATTTGCCTTACTTTTCTATTTGCTTCAATGCGCCTAGGTCACTTGCGCTCAACTCGCCAAAAGATCTTCGATACGCACTGTTTCTTCGCCAATTACTTGCTAAAAAATTTTTCGTTTCCTTGTTTTGTTTGTTTGTTATTACCGCTGCCACTGATTTTCTTGCTTTTGTACAATATGGCTATTTTTCTGCAGATTATCCGAAGCCATGGATCACTTGCCCTACAGATGTCGTTGCTACCCTTGCACCAAACGCTAAGGAACACGATATAACTGGGTTGCTAAGTCAACCACAGTCCAATGTCAAAAATATTCACATGTACCCAGATAAGTACCGCAGCAGCCTGGTGTTCCCGTCAGGCTTAACTGTGCTTACTTACGTCGCTAGTAACGAAATCGGTGAAACAGCGAATTGTACTACAGTTGTGACCATACAAGGTAAAAAAGGCTTCAATTTTAAAATGTTTATTATTATTATTATTATTATTATATTATTATTATTATATTATTATTATTATATTATTATTATTATATTATTATTATTATTATATTATTATTATTATTATTATTATTATATTATTATTTATTTATTTGTTTTTTTTTGTGTTTGTGAAACTAACGTTTTGAAGAAAGCCGGAGATTTAAATCCTTAAAGCTTCTTACCTTTTCTTTTTCCTCAGATCAACAAAAACCGACCATTACATACTGCACTGAAAATATATATCAAGCAATATCAGGTTCAGAAGCTTCCGTTACATGGACAGAGCCAAGCTTCACAGACAACGTCGAGGTTGTAAGAGTCACATCGACAAAGAAACCTGGCGACACATTCCAAATTGGATCTCTTACGGTACTTTATGAGGCGTTTGACGCCGCAGGGAATAAAGAGGGCTGCTCTTTCGTAGTGCAACTAACGCGTGAGTCTTTGAAAGCATGATTTTTTCCGTCTTTGTTGGTATTTTTAAATGGTTTTGTTTTTTTTTTCTTTGCAATTATTTAGTAGAGAGACTGCCATCTTGTGTTACTTGTCAAGTTGACAGACAGGCTGTGAAGCATTTTATAACAAACGAAGATCCATTAATTTCAAACATTTATAATTAACGTTCATTAGTAGGAGAAATTTATTTTTTTTTCGCTCTTGATGAAATCCAAACTGGTGCTTTGGTAATAAAGAAAAATTCCTATTCAATTATGAATGAGCCCAGCACATGTCTTAAGTTTGGTGAACTGCTAATCTTAAAATCCCTCAGGCTTAGAATGCCTAATATAACTTTAATAGCTGCGTTAATGGGATAGGAGTTCTATAGCCCATTTGACGAGGATCCAAGCAACTGGACGGGCCCGTAAAGTTTTTTTTTTTTTTCATTCAAGATGGGTGTTTCAAAAGTTTTGAAAATCATTCAATAAAACTATTAGCTAAAGAAAGAAATTGGGCTGGTTAGGGTGATAAACCTGCTTCTCTATTCTTTGAATTTTCAATTTGAAATATGGCTCCGGGGGCCAATAAGTTACCGGGACGATCGAGAAATGGGCCCCAGGTGTAGCTTTTATTCACTTGCAGGGAAGAGGTGCGAAAAACCAAGCGAACAGCCTGACAATGGAGAATTGGTTTGCAATTCAATCGGAGACTTCCTTTACTGTTCAAATAAATGTAACTCTAATAAACAGTTGTTCAAGTACTCTTTTGGCTCAAGTTGCAACCCATCTTCGTTGAAGTGGTCACCAGAGGAGGTTTTAATCGACTGTGTAGGTCAGCATAAAATAACAAAACTTTAATTATTGTACTTGTGATCATGATAACACCTTAAAGTTCTTCGTTAGTGGTAAGTCTTCCATCATCCAAGTTTGTGGAAAGAGAGGCGGTATGAACATTTCTAAGGAAAATAATTTTATGACAAGACAGCAAATTATATTGCGGTATAATACATACCCTAACCATCCTATAAGCTTATGAATGAACTTAGGCTGTAATGATGCGGGTACCACGCGTTAGATTACAAATATCCTAAATACACCTTATTCGAGGGGTTTAGCATGTAATAAGCGCGGATATCTTACGAGTTGCGGAGTATTGACGGGCAATGAGCAAAATTTCCGTTCGTACAACACTAAAGCTGTTCAATGAGGGTTCATTATTCCACTCTCGTTTCTTTTTCTAGACTTTTGTGTTCTAATTTTCGAAACTTAATGCGGTCTTACCGAGCATTGTACCGATCGCATAATGCGTGCGTGAAAGAAGAAAACTGCAAAAGGAAACCATTTAAGTGACCACGATGACCAAAAGAGACTTCTTGAGTGGCTCGAATGTCGTTGCTGAAAATAACATGTCCGAAAAATTAAAGAGAAATCAAAGATCGCTTAGATCATTTTTGTCCGTATTTTGACCGATGTGTTATAATTTGGGCGTTCTATGGCCCTAAAGTTGTAAAACGACGTCATAGTGCAAGATTAACTTTTGGTACTCTATTACAACTTTTGTTTATCGGACACCGTCAAATTTAAGTACATTAAGTGTTTTCGTTCGGGAAAAACAACAAAATTTAGGCTTGAGAATTTTTTTTTTTAACGTTTGAAATAACTTTTCATTTCCTTTTCCTCAGGACCCTTGAGCGAGTTAGCTGTAGATTTACCTCTGTATGTTTGACATTGTGTTGTTATTGTTTGCCTCATCAGACTATGTCGCCATGCCGGCAAGTGGAGAGTGCCCTCATCCAACAATTCCGCAGCCATCCCTTATTAATTTCAACAATCCAGCAAAGCCATGCGGTATGTCGCTTTAATAAGCCCTAAAGTCCTGTTATTCTTTCTGAACGTTTCCGAAAGCACTTTTAAGAATGCTATCTTACACAGAATCGAATTAATTCAGTCTTAATGATATATTGAACGATGTGTGTCATCTTACCCAGTCTGGAATATAAGCTGATAGGAATGAGACAAATTGAGTTCCTTCACAAATCAAAACAGAAATTTAGCCCATTAACGCCTATCATTCACATATGTGTCTCCCGGTTTCGTTGCACTGTGACAAGGAATATTATTCCATTCAACCTTGATTTTGTCTTTACTGAATTATTTCCAGTTAAATGTCCTCGAGGGATGAAATATGATATGACACAGAAAGACTGCCTAGCATGCCCTATTGGTCACACAAGTGAACAAGAATCAAGCCTGAATTGCACCAAGTGTCCAGAAAAAAAAAGCATCAGAAAGGAGGGGTCGAAAACATGTGAAGGTAAGCACGATGCTGTGGGTTAAGGCGCTATTTTTAATGTTGTTCTTTCTTTTTCTTCATTGTCTTTTGGTTTGTTTGTTTGTTTGTTTTTGTTTCTTTTTCCTTTTCTGGTTGAAATCGTTTTTCCTTAATTGATTACCGATTGACTGAATCACCGATTCATAGACTGGGCTGTAGTTGTTGAGCTGTGAGTATACCAGTCCAAGTTTTCGGTTGGCTATTTATTAATGTTACTTGGAACTTTTGTCTTTCTGTCAAGATCTTTGTGATAAAGGGATGTCATCAGGAGATGGGTTCGATTCTCCTGACAAACATGCGTGTTATTTTTGCAACGTTGGATTCTATCAAGATCTATATGGTGCCACACAGTGTAAGCAATGCCCGAATGGACTCACAACAATTGCGAAGGGATCAACCTCCTTGGATGACTGTGGAAGTAAGAGCAGTCATATCATTTAGCTCTGACGCCATTCAGTTGTTTTCTCAGCTAAAATTGTGTTGAAATATGATGTTATTCAGTGAATGACACGGGCATACTCGGAGAAGAACTCCGAGTGTTTCTAATAGGAGACGAACCTTCGACCTTGCGATGAATACTTCGGACGCTCTACTACTGAGCTACAGAAAGCTTGTTGCAGGCTGTTTAACCAGGTCCATGATGAGAAACTTCCTGCATACTGCCAGAAGAGGAATGTTTTTGCTATCACTGCTTTTCTTTTAGCTACCTTCTTCACTGCATAAACTCATTTCCGTTTCTTTGTAATTATTTGATTTATTTTTGCCTTTTCTAAAATTAATTTCCCTTGCTTATATCGCATGTACAGAATAATCCCAAACTGGTGATATGCTTCATCCTATTCAAATGCTACTGCTTTTATTATCGCCTTTAGTAACACCAACAGTTTCTTCCTTTGGGCCTCCTTCCATGGTCGTCGATGTGGATGAAAATGGCAGAGTTCAATTTGAGTGTATGGCAGCTGGACCACCAGAACCTACGTTCTTAGTTAAAAAGACAAAGCCAGCACCAGGTTTGTGGCGAGAGTTTGAGTCGAATTATCCTTATAAAATATCTGAAAAGCAACCTGGCTCATAAAGAAGAAAGATTGATACTTGCGGGGGCGTAATGAACCAACCGCATTATTATCCACCCAACTGCTGTGAATGACAACCCAAATCAAAACCACGACCATTTTAATAGAATTTTCAGTCCAACAAGGCAGCGATGACTGATTAGGAAGTTGATTAGCGTTGAATCCTGTTCGTGAGAAACCGGTAATGAATTATACTTTTAATAAGTGGTCCAAGCGTTAAGTTGCAAAGTACGGGGAACGATGTTTGGCGAGAGTAAACGAACCACAGGGGTCTCCTAAAGAGTAACCGAGAGGAACTGTATTGGGAGTGGAAGTGACTGGTGCCTCTTCTTCTTTTGATAGCGCGGCTTTTAGCTTAATTAAAGTTCTGCTGCGAACTTTTTTAAAAGAATTTAATTGTGCGGTAATACTGCTTTTTTTTTTCAGAGGGTTTCGGAGGACCTGTTAGGATAGAGTACATAAGGTCAGGTAATGCAGTGACTGGTGTACGCTACATAATTCTCAGTGCGACAGAACATGACGCCGGACTATACTTTTGCACCGCCACCAACAAGTTTGGATCGGATACGAAGCAACTCACTTTGAATGTCCAAATTTCCGGAGGAAGTGGGTCAGGTAATAGAAGTTCAGATAAAAGATCACGGCATAAAGAGCTGCAAAACTTTGATGTTATTATTATTATTATTATTTTTAATATTAGTATTATCATTATTATTATTGTTTTATTAATTTATTTAGTTGTTTAGTTTTTTAGTTTGTTTGATTAGTTATTGTTTATTTTTTTATGCTGAAACCTTGAAAAATAAGAAGAAAATGACCATTTTAAACCATCCAAGATTTAAAAACCAGGTTTAAGTTTATGTTTAGATACATCGTAGACATGGATCTTCCTCGGACTGAACATAAACAAGCTTTGGTCATTCAGGCCAAACCCTGAAAAACTCTGAGGTAAAAGTGCCTAAGATGTGAAATCCGCTTATTAAAAGTGTAGAAGAACTCTAAAAAACTGTAAAATTTCGGTCTTCGTCATGCATCTGGAAAATGTGAAACACCAAAAATTCTGCATACTGCCTTTTTTGTCGACCGTTTGGTCACCGGAAGTTGTTTGATGAATTTAGATCGATAAGAGCCCTAAAAACCAGCTTTCATCACCTGAATTCAGAGAAGCGCTAGAATTGGAACAATAGCACACATCCATACCATACACATCCTTGGCTGATTGGTAAATCATAATGTAATACATGCCGGCATAGAGATGCATCATATACATTGTATACTCTGTAGCTTCCTTTAGTTGACAAATGTGGTATTCATTGATAGGTTAATTTTTTTTCCTTTCTCTCCTCAAGGAGCTTGACGCCTTGAAAGAAATATCGTTACGTTATGCTTCAGTACCGAACGATTGAGTAGAGTGACACAAGGATTCCTTCTTTTTCACTGAATCAATTGATATGATTATCGTGTGTATTGTGACAAATGAAGGATTACAAAATAAAATTAGATAAAGCGGGATTAGCAATGTGTTTTTTTTCAAATTAATGATGGAAAGGAGAAAGGAGAATTTGTGTGATTGTATTTTGGGGATGTTTTATTTGAGTCTTAAAACCGGAAAAACTTACTCTTCTGCGCCACAAATCTATCAAACTCTCTTTGATGGCACAAAAAAAAAAACTCGCCAAAACCAGCTGGCTTATATTTATTTAACAAAAGTATGTCGTTTATACTAATTAAGAGCATTTTAGTGCAGATACTACGGTTACTCACATTCAGGTTTATCCGCAAGGGGCAGCGCAAAATTAAAGACCTTGACCGTGAGTCCAGCACAACTGGATCATGCCCAATTGATGCTGTGACTGATGTTAGGAAGCGTACCTCTTCGTTAAGGGTGCAAAGTGCAAAAAGGGAGGGCATATCTTTCTATTGTTATCTGCTCATAAGCTCGCGGTAATTACGCTAAGCGGTTTTTACTCTGCGAGTAAAAAACAGTCAACCTTTTGCTCTCCCAGATAGATGGTCAGTCGAAAAGATCGAGTCATGCCGCAATTGTACGGTAAATCATCTTGGATGTACGGCCAAATACAACTCCTGTGCCGCTACCCAGAAAGTTTTATCGCTGCATAACTTAATTGACCACTTATCTTCATTTCTACTCTTTCGGAGCTTTTGTTGCTCGGAAAAATTAACAGACCTAGTTGCCTTGTTTCCCTATTGCTATCTGCTTACAAGCCCGCAGTAATTACGCTAGGCGGTTGTTACTCTTAAAGATGAGATTTCTAAAACGGTTTAAGGTGGCTCGAAACAGCTTTTTTTTTTTTCTATTTAGTGTATTTAGGACCAACACAAAGCAAATAGCAACACAAAGGGCTTTTAGAGAAAGGCCCACGAACGGTAAATTGTGTTTCAGTTTTTCATACAGTCTTAGAATTATGCATTTTACCTGAGAGCCAACTTAAATAAAATTCTGTCAGAAATTTTTTGTGAAAATCCCCGCGTTTTGGAATTCATTCTTAATTTTTTCCTTGTTTACAGAGTTTTTAAAAAATCGCTCTCAAGACATTGCAAGCGGAGCGAAGACAACATGCTAAAAGTGAAGAAAAAAAAAATTACCGAGCGAAAGCGGAAATAATGCCGCCGAAAGCTTCAAATTTCTAAACATTTTGACACGACAAGGTAGGCAACTGCGCATGCTCAGAGTTTTTACGCGAGAGAGAACGCGCAAGACGCACAGGACATTCTATTTTCGCATTTTCTGTTTAATTCACGTTCTCGGTTATCCTGTACAGATAGTTCAGCTTTATTTCGGCTAGACGTTTCGAATAGCCATTAGCTGAGCAGCTTTTTGTTTTGATCGATGTCGAAAATCGACCGGTACTTGGATCGCGCAGGGACCCGGAACTAATCGACGTGGCACACGCTCGATCTTCTTAGTTATTACGAGAAGCAGAGGAATCCTCTTTCCCAAGCACATGTTGCATCATCAACTGAAGTTATTACAAACACTGTTACCAAAAGGATCCCAAAACAAACTTTCACTTTGACGTATTGAAAGAAAAATTGCGGCGATGTGAGGCCGGGAAGATCATTACGTTTTGAAACAATTTACCTGAACTTCTAACTCTTAACTTATTTTCTTTGTAAAGAACATGGTAACTTAAGAACGAAGAAGCGAGCTCGGCCTCATTACAAAAGAAAAACACAGTCTACTTGGCCGGCGCAAAATCAAGCGTGACACGAAAACGGTCGCCATCTTTGTTTACAAATTTTTTTCATTCGCAAACTTTAAAAGTCCCGCGTGTGATCGCGTGTATTGGAATCCAGTCCTTGCGCGCCAAAAAAACTATTGCGAGCCACCTTAACTTGCTCTCCCAGATTAATGGTCGGTCAAAAGGATCGAGTCTTGCCGCAGTTGTACGGTGAATTATCTTGGATATATGGCCAAGTGCAACTCCTATGCCCCTACTTTTAATGTAGATGTCTAATCCAAAGTCTACCCTAAACGTTTATCGCCGCATAACTTGACCTCTTATCTTCCTTTCTACTTTCTCAGAGTTCTTGTTGCTCGGAAAAATTAACAGACCTAGATGCCTAGTCATTTCTTTTTCTTTGGGCTACTTCATAGACCAATGCGCTCGAGTGATGGCAACAATATTGCACGCAGTGAAATTGAACTGAAATAGACGGTATTTATTAATGATTAAGAGGAAGCAGCTCTTCCTCCTATGATTTTAGATAGTTCGCTGCTATTAAAATCGAAATTTTAGAACGTGTTTAAGGAAAGGGGCTGACGGAAGCTTTTTGTTTTAGATATGGCAAGACTTCCCAGAGCCATTTTTATGAACCACGCGTTTTAATTTGGGAAACAATAACAGGAACATAAAATAAACGAAACACCGGCTTCATCCCGCTGGTTCAGCTGTTATATCCAACTACATTATCATTGCCATCGCCCAATAGAGAGTTTTCTTTGAACAATAGTCAGTAACCACAACTGTAACATACGTAGCCGCAATTTCATGAAAAGTATCCCATGCGGAAAACCTTCTTAATTCGGAGCTCATTTTGCGATCAGGGCAACATAATTTTTTTTACTGGAATAAATATGCAATAATGTTAAAATTATTTAAGAGCGAGCGTGAGTCACCGTGATAAGTCATATGATTTAGTAGCCTAAAATGGAAGTTTGCAGTTTCCATAGTTAAGATCATGATTTGTAAACGCCACGTAACGGAGTTACCCAGCCTTCCTTATAAATGAACGTCGTTCTGGATTTCTTTTAATTGAAGTTTGCAGTCAGTTGTCTCGACGAATATAACCACACTTATACATGCCTGATTAGATGAGGCTCCTTATTCGCACAATAATATTAATCATGTTGAATTAAATAAATGGCTGAGGAAACTAATAAACGGGTGAGCAATGTCTGTGCTGTTTCACTTACAATTGATAAAGTTTCATTCTTCGTTATTTGAGCCTTAACATTTTCAGGCGGATTACTTTGATCTAAATGTAAAAACTAAAAAAAAAAAAAAAGAAGAGAAGCTGCCAACAAGTAATTGTTTGAATAGCATAGCCTTTCCATTGTTCAAGTGGAAATTAAGAAATGATTGACATGTTTTTGAAATGTTTTGGTGGAGCTAAAATTTTTTAGTTGTTCGGGCTTTGCATTCTGCACAAGCTCTTATCTGCTAACCATCTAGAACAATCGATTATTCTTAAATACAAAAAGAAAAATGGATAAATAAAATAAATAAAAGATAGCATATTCTTATAAGAGCTTGTGCAAACTTCAGCTCCACCTAAACATTACATCGAGGCATAAACATGTCAATCATTTCTTAATTTCTACTGTCTCATTCCTCTCCAGTGGAGTTTTTTTTAAGCGTAAAGTGAGAAGCGCAAAATGCTGGACGCCATGGAGGCAAAATTTCAGTTTTTGTGGTCAGTTATGTACTCCTCCATTAGGACTTTGAAGAAAACTCTCCCTACAGAATAAGTTTCATTACCATAATGTATTACTTCACATCACGCCGGAATTTTCACTGGAAAAGAAAAAAAAAAAACAACAACAACAACAACAACAAACATTCCAGGCCCCTTAAAATTGGAATAACTTAGTTCTATCTGGTCAGAACAGGAGCAGTGGATTTACCCTTTAAGTCCCAGTAATGATGTAGACAGAATTTCTCCTTACACTATCAGCACAACAACAAGCAGACAAGTAATGAGACAAAAGAAAAATATCAATTAGGGGAATAATGGCTGATCCAATTGGCAGACAGTAAGGAGAATTATAAAACAAGATCTTGGGAATTCAAGAGTTAAAACTGGTTTTTCGTTTGTTTTCTGTTGTCTGTGTCGTTGTATTGTATTTTGACAAAATGGAGCGCATAGTACTTAAAATAGATTTAGGAAGTATTTTTAGATCGAAAAAAACAAAGAAACAAAAAAAAAAAGGAAAAAACAAAACAAACAAAGAAACAAAAAACTTCCGTCAGCTCTGCTCCTTAAACACCATATAAAATTTTGATTTCAACCTTACTGAACATTTCGACCGTATCTGCGCTAAATTGGAGTTTAAGGGATATTATGAGGACTGCTGCTTGCATTTTTTTTTTGTTTGCATTTGGTGTTACAAATACTACTGAAGATCAAGTCACCGATGGTAAGCACATTAATTCTTCAGTATCCAATCATAACTTGAATTCATCGTGTGCACTTAAAAATGTATCTTTCTTGCGGGGATTCCGCTGCGACTGACTAAATGCTTTCCTTTGCGAGAAAGTCAGGTTGTTTACATTTGGCCAAAAAAATCAAACAGGGTCGACGGATGGTTGAGGAAAAGTTTGAAAAGGATATGAGTCGATTATCATAACTTGATGCTCTAAAAATCAGCTTCCCTCTGCATCCGTCAGTTCTCTTCCTTCAACACCTAATAAAACTTCGATTTCAACCTCGCTGAACATTTTCGACAGTTTTTTTTTTGCTTAATTGGAATTTACGGGATATTTTAGGGACCGCTATTTGCACCAAATTTCTATATGCATTTGGCGTTAATAATGCTACTGAGGACCATGTCACCAATGGTAAGCAAATTTCTCCTTAGATATTCAATCATACTTTGAATTAATCCTTGTAAAATATGAAAAGAAGATCTTCCAACGTGGACTCCGCCCCAACTGTTTCAAGAGAGTGTCTGTATGAGCGGTCCGGTCGATCTTGCTAGAGACTAGGATTTCGCTCGTTTCTCGTGTGTTGTAAGACATTCATGTACCTATACTAAAACCACAATCAGTTTGATCGGATCTCTTTATTTTTCAGAGTTTTACGGAAATTAAATTTCACTCGAGCGAAGGCTTGTCGTGACACTTTTCAAGACTTTAATTTTCTACAACTTTGGAGGACTATTTACAAAAAACTGTGGAACTCGGCAAAAAATAAATACCACAGCTATGTATATTAACTCTATCTTATCTATCGAGGCGACTTTCGTAAACATCACGTGTCAATCAAATAAACAGGAAAACTTGAATGACACCTCATCGGTTCGCCTAAATTACACACGCTAAAACCGATCAAATTCAAAGTAAATTTTTGAAAAAGTGAGGCGTTCTTAACTGATCCGACTAACATAGCTAGGAAGAAGGTGCCATAGAAAAGGTAACTACAGAAAAAAACTTTGCGGCCCGACCTTTACGAGAACTTTATAAGTCCGTGAACTTACCTAATTTTCGGCAATCTCCAAGTTTGGCCGCCATTTTGAGGGACTTGTCAACATAAAGCGTAACCGATATAAATCAAGCAGGTGGATCTAAAACCGTCAGAAATACATACGAAAGCAATTCAGATGAACTTTACTTTCAATTCAAGCGGCAAAATTTGAAATTGTTCGTTAAACTTACCATCCCCATGCGACCATTTCTTTCAACAATTCAAACACTACAACTAGTGTTCGAATTCCCCTCGTCGATTCCACCGCAAGAAATAACCTGTGCCATCCAAGCTTCGACTCGAATGTGAAGTACGAATCAAGTAACATAACTGCTTCATCTTCGCGGCAATATCACGCTGGTATTTTGATTTTCCGATCGACAAGAATGGTGATCAGGAATCGATCGGTTTGTTTACCTCATAAACGTGACCGCTGACCAGCCGCTAAGTGAAAACAGCATAGTGCGGGGTGTGGTGGGTGGCGGGCTTATCGTCATAAGATATTCGAATACATGCTCAAAAAGCTCTAGGACTATCAGTCTAAACAGTGAAGGCATGCTTCGTGGTACAGACAACTTTTATTTTATTCTCATAACCTTCTCCTTTAATTTGGAACTGGCATTAATTAATAGAGTTATCAATATATTTTTAACCGGGTACCCATATAACCCTTATTGCATAACATCAGTGGAGTAAAATAAGGTGTCTTTTCCACCAGAACCTTTTATTTATGCCCCAATGTACAGAATGAACACTATACTTAGAATGTTTGCTCTAAGTAATTTTTTCTGTTCCCAAGAATGTAAATAGAGATTTGATTCATTCCGCTGACACGTTGTTTTAAGTTATGGCGCGTGCAGCTTTTTCCTATCAAAAGTCGCGCATGCAACACACCGGAATTGAAAATTCCTCGTAAAATCGCACGAACCTTAGAATGAGTGTAGGCAACTTTGACCGGACCCCCTGATATTTTTTCAGGACTATAACTGAGATTTGTTCATAACTATTATAATCGTCATCATTAGCGGACGGTGCTTTTTGCCTATTGTTGTCATCATTAGCGTTATCACGCCGGAAGAAGTATAAAGCCGGCATGTCGCCTTACCTAGCTACACAGAAAATTGTTCTATCTTTTGCTCTCCTTGGATCCTGGAAACTGTTACTATTAAGACGATCAACAAGAAAGCCTTTATAATTATTGAGACATTTGATTAACAGAATGTAAGAAAAAATCGGTGGGGAGAGTTTTTCGCGTATCTTATAATCTGAACGATAGTTTTAAATAAAACAAATAACACTTAATTCAATTTGCCTTAGTTGTCTCGTGTTTAAAATTGGCGTTTCTGGGACCGTAGATTCTTTTCTGATTCTTCTTGTCTCAGCTAAGACTCACTATCATCAACTTTTTTCTTGTGCTTCTTACGGCATGGGACACAGAGAGCTGAGGTAAGCGATTGCAAATTTCTCAGTTAAAGTAAAGCCCAGTAGCATCCATCAGGAATTAAAAATCGACATGCAATGTTTACTTTTATTATTCTTAATCAAATAAAGGGTGTTTTAGTCTGCAAATTTAATCATACTGGTTAATGAGAATCATACAAACTGAGGAAAACTGACCGCAAATAATTGTGAACCGTACGCATGAGTAAGTATATTGCGTTGTCAGGTGATTTGATCTTCTACAAAAACATTATTGATTATCAACCGAGCAACATTGTACATATTTCCATCTGTTATTAAAAGCACTTACACATACATCTATTTTTTTTCAACGTGATGTGTACTTAAGTACCCTTCATCTAATAAAGAATTTCTTCTCTTTTCGAGCAGATATGTCACGTGACAAAAATAGATGACAGAAAAAGTTACTGAAGACTACCTGATTCAACTGGAATAATAACTCCAAACAGCTTTTGAATGTCCTGAGACATATGCAAGGTAATTATATCTGTACCTTGGATACGCTTCCTGACACCATTATGATCAGGATACTGACATGTTACCTTTGCACTTCTCCAAAACTTCCACAGAGTGTGGCGATGCCTATAGCAAATCCACATTTTTTTGTTTATCCTCCTGAGCGAGGTGAAATAGGCCAATCTTTGCCAAGATTAGCTCATTTTCACTTAAAAACCTCTTTAGACAGGTGGCAGCTTACCAAATGGTGTTTTACTTCGTCAATGCATTCAGACAGTCGTACCAAACAGCTTAAGCCACACGATGAACCAAAGTTTTTTCCATCTTTGCCACTCAAAAAGAAGTCCTGAGACATAATGAACGTCTCTCTAATGAACGACTTCTTTCTGTACTTGTAATTGTTTCCAACGCCATGCAAGTTCGGGAGATCTAAAGGAACTCACTATAACTTTGTATACTCGATACGATTTTAATTTCCGCGTCAAAGGAGAAGCATATTGTAATTTGTGAGTGGTCAGTGGTTACGCTCGTGAGGTAAAGAATGGGTTCGTGACTTTCTCACTCATTTGAAAGACTCGCGTCACTCTTATGAAATGGTTGAACGGAATACAGACTTCGAGTAGTCTCTTATTTTTCTTAAAGATAGTGAGGTCACGCGTATCCTGTGAGCATCGAGAAGCCGCTCCACGCGAGACTCGTATTTCGCGTCTTTGCCGCTCCACGCTCTCAGAGTTGGGCAAAGACAAGACACGTTATTTCTGGTGCGATACAAGAGGTTCAATGGTTATCTCGAATATCTAAACACATTTATTTACGTGGTAAAGATTTGTTTTTAAATCTATGAACTGATGCTAGTCCTATTTGGAACAAAATGTATTTGAAATAAAAAACAAATACTAAGTAAAATAAAAGTTGTCTGCAACACGAAGCATGCCTTTGCATTAAGACTGAGAATCCAAATGTTTATCATGATACTTTAATGCATATGTTCGAATGTTCCCAAAAATCTTCTGATAATCTGCCCGCACCTACCCCTCACCCTGCCCCTCGCCACTGAACCGTACTGTTTTCACTCAGCAGCTGGTCAGCGGTCACGTTTATGAGGTAAACAAACCGATCGATTCTTGATCACCGTTCTTGTCGATCGGAAAATCAAAATACCAGCGTGATATTGCCACGAAGATGAAGCATTTATGTTATTTGATTCGTACTTCACATTCGAGCCGAAGCTTGGATGGTACAGGTTATTTCTTGCGGTGGAATCGACGAGGAGAATTAAGAAAGTTGTAGTGTTTGAATTGTTGGAATAAATGGTCGCATGGGGATGGTAAGTTTAACGAACAATTTCAAATTTTGCCGCTTGAATTGAAAGTAAAGTTCATCTGAATTGCTTTCGTATGTATTTCTGACGGTTTTAGATCCACCTGCTTGATTTATATCGGTTACGCTTCATGTTGAGAAGTCCCTCAAAATGGCGGCCAAACTTGGAGATTGCCGAAAATTAGGTAAGTTCACGGACTTATAAAGTTCTCGTATAGGTCGGGCCGCAAAGTTTTTTTTCTGTAGTTACCTTTTCTATGGCACCTACTTCCTAGCTATGTTAGTTGGATCAGTTAAGAACGCCTCACTTTTTCAAAAATTTACCTTGAATTTTATTGGTTTTGGCGTGTGTGATTTAGGCGAACCGATAAGGTGTCAATCAAGTCTTCCTGTTTCCTTGATTGACACGTGATGTTTACGAAAGTCGCCTCGATAGATAAGATAGAGTTAATATACATGGCTGTGGTTTGTTTTTTTTGTTGAGTTCCGTAGTTTTTTGTAAATTGTCCTCCAAAGTTGCATGAAATTAAAGTCTTGAAAAGTGTCACGACAAGCCTTCGCTCGAGTGAAATTTAATTTCCGTAAAACTCTGAAAAATAAAGAGATCCGATCAAACTGATTGTGGTTTTAGTATAGGTACATGAATGTCTTACAACACACGAGAAACGAGCGAAATCCGTGTCTCAAGCAAAATCGACCGGCCACTCTTACAGAGACACTCTCTTAATCTTCTCCCTTGAAAGTATGTTAGGTTTGTATACATTTGGCAAAAAAAAAAAAAAAAAAAAGCAAACAGGGTCGACGGACGGGTTGGGGAAAAATTTTTGAAAAGGATGTGAGTCAATTATCACAGCTTGATACTCTAAAATCATCTTCCCTCAACTTCCGTCAGCTCTGTTCCTTAAACATCCTATAAAATTTAGATTTTAACCCCACTAAAGGTTTTCGACTGTTTCTTCTACAGGATATTTTGAGGACCGCTATTTCCACCATATTTCTTTTTGCACTCGCAGTTTATATTCAATTAAGTTCGCGTTTTTGCGTGAGGTCGAATCCCATTTACATATCCACACATCTTTATATCTAAATATTTGTCTATCTGGGAGTGAGATTAAACGTGCATTAATGTTGTGGCGTAAAACATGTAATATATTGCTACATACACGATTTTATAGAAAACTCCCAACTTATTTGTATTCGTTGTTATGATGCAGAAACAGAGTTCAAGCTCACCTTTATATCTTTGAACATGGGACTGAAGGGGAAGGGAAGGTGGATGCCACCCCTCAAATGTCTTTTGACTTACGTAGTGACCTAATCTTGCAAATTCACAGTTTCATTTACCCAATCCCCACTGCACCATGGCAGATGTAGAAACTTTCTTGTGTGTCGGAGCTTTTCATTCAGTTCCCCTTCTGTGTAGCCTATTTTAATTTCTGCAATTGAAAGGTAAGTAAATAGATCATTTTGCCTTGTTTGTCTTTTTTCTCTCTTATCGGTCGGCTCCCCGTAAACATTAGTTACGGTCTGCTCCAAGTATACTTTACACGACAAAACAATTAGCTGGAGTACAGCCCAGGAAGAATGTCGCAAACAAGAGAAGGGTTCACTTGTCTCTATGGAAACTGAAAAAGAATGGCACTTTGTCAAGAACTTAACCAAAAAGCGAACAAAAACACGTTGGCTCATTGGCTTGGAAAGAGTTAATAGATCTCATACGTGGTACTGGGTTAGTGGAAGCATCGCCTGGGTCAACGGGACATCAGCTAGAACATGGCATTGGAATAAGGGAGAACCAAACAATTTTGGAACAGAAAAATGCGGAGAGATGTGGCAAAACGGAAAGTATAACAACATTCGGTGCGAAGAAAAAAATTCTGGTGAAAATCCAGGATATATATGTGAAAAGCAAGTCAGTAAGTTCATGATCATACCGACGGGATATTAACCCAATTAAAAATTTCAGTAAGAAAAAGAAAAGTCGTAAGCCAACTTTGATTTTGATGCGAGTAACTCTTATTCATATTTTCTTCCTAGATTGTTCCACCATATCCAAAAACTCAAAAAATGGTGATATTTTCATTGAGAGAAAAACAAGACCTAGATCAACCCCCCAACCGTTGGTGACAACGACTACGTCCACCTCATCCTTGACAACTCAATCGGCGAATACTCAGAATAAGCTACTCTCAGAAGGTAAGATCTACTTTGACGGAAATTTGACATCTAGTATGAACCTGGTCTATTGCGCAGTTCTTGACGGATATTGCACTTTCAAACTCCCTTCCCCTCCCTGGCCACTATAAGAAAGAGGAAACACTAAATACAATTATAATAAAGTTCGGATATAACGCGCGCTGTCATTGGTTGAAAGAGCGTGCTCTATGAGAGTATAGAGCATAGACCTAAGCTAAAGCTGTCACGCCATCTGCCAAATTGTACTATATTCGACCTTTTCCGGGACTTGTGTGGAAGTGGGGAAACTTCGACTACGTCTCGTGTTTCTCCCTACACTTCTTTCGTACTCTAGCCGCTTCCTGCGTGCTTTATAACAGAACAGAGCACAGTCAAGGCTTCTCTATTTGTTAAGTATATTATATATTATAAGAGGGGGATGAGAGAGGGGAAATTCCTATGAGCTTTCTGGCAAATACTCTAGCCTTCCCTATTTATGTTTGGCAGTTGCTGTGACCCTTATAATATACCATATAGGGATCCCACTGTCCTTCAGAAAATATAAATCAGCAATTTGTTAAAGGAAACTTTGATGGAGATATTAAAACAAAATCAGTTGATTTTTTTTTTACCTTATGCGTAGCGGCACCATGAAAGGTTTCGTATGTACAGGTTAAATCGTGTCTGAGTGTTCTGCTGGCGAATTCCTTCAACTTTAACCGTTAAAGTGGAGACTTTTGGGGTGAATGAAGTAGACGATTTTATAAAAGAAAAATAGGCAATATTATTTTTGAGAGATTGCTACCTTTAAATTGAGGGTATCAGTTCTGTCGAAATGGATCAAAATGCACTTTGCCCACTCTATAGAATTATTTGTATAATAAAAATGTAACCACCAAATTCTCCTACGTGCGTGTTAAGCAAATCATCGAAGTTATTAGACGCAATACCACTCCAGTTTGCACCTGAACTGAGTAAGGCCGAATGAACTACACTAGCGAGTACAATTTAAGGGGTGACAAGCCTTATCTGATCTCCTTTTCTTTTAACTGACCAGGATACTCTGTTTTAGGGTGATGTGGAAGGTTTTCCACAGTAAAATGTTTGTTGACATTTTGAATATTTGCAAGGAAATAAATGGAACGATACGGATGTATGTCATTTATACACTCCAGCTTTTCCTTTTCATACTTATGGCGTATCATTTGGTCTCGCATTTATTTCGGACGCGAAGTAACATAAATTATCACAAATATGATAGATTTGGTAAATTTACTATGAAGATGGGGAAAATGAATGTGTAAGGGGAAAATTCGAACTAAAGGTTTTTGAAGCGGGAAGAAACATAGGTGGTTTCCTTTTGCTTAGCACTTTGTTTAGAAAAAGCTAAATAAGGCGTTTTTAATTGCTTTTTCTTTATGCAGATAACAGTAATTGTAAAAGGTTCAGTTACATTTTCAACCGATACAAATTATTAACATTAGGAACAGAAAAATAAAAGCGTCAAATGCACAATTTCACGTTTTGAATTTGATGGCCACAAATTTATCAACACATTTGCCGAATTCGTTTTCTCTGCCAAGAGCCTTATTTGGACCTCACTATACTGTTTTATTAGACCCATGCTGAAAACGCTCAGGTGACTGTAACTTGGCATTGTTTTCGATCCCTTCCCCAAATTCTGAAGCATGTTCAGGTATTCCGGTACAAGTCACTCGATGACGTCGTTAGAACATCGTGAGCATATAAGTGAAATAAATTGAGGTATTTAATAAGTTCGTGGGTGGTACTGGAAGTAATGATTTTTATAATCAATCTTCTCGATTGCTTCAGGGTCGTCTCGGAGGCCACAATCACCTGAAAGTACTCTTTTTAAAGAATCAACAACAAAGGTGGAAAAACCCAACACCCAACCAGCAAATACAACATTTTCTACACTTCAAAACCGACACACATTTAAATCCCCAACACAAGGTACAATATAACGATGTTGACGTCGTCTATGTCTATTATTATGAACGTCTATATGCTCCTGACTGTTTTTAGGTATATCTTAATTAATCTTTATTTCATTGCGATAGCATTTCATTTCCTCACTTCGAATATACCGATTACAGCATACGCTTCTGGGGAATAAAATCTGACATTGCTCTCTTTATTTACCTAACACAAAATTTAATGTTATCATGAATGACATCTCCTTATTCTCCAAAACCTATGTTGTAAATCAGCAATAAATTTTATTATGACAGTGTGAGGCGTATCACATGCTCAGTATATTAACTTCTTCCACGTGTTGACTAAGGAAACAGAGGATATCGATTTTAGAAAAAGACGAGAGTGACAAAGCTGAAGATCTTAATAAAATTGTTTCGGGCTGGAAGGAGTAGAAATATAACTCGTGAGTTTACAGAATATCTGACCTTTAATATTCCTTGATCAATCACAGTTCGTTAAAAGCAACATTGTATTTCACTTGGGTATTAAAGTATTTTTAAAAACCTTTTATTTTCCGTTAATGTTTATTGGAACCTTTTTCGGTTCAATCAGCCTTTGCCTCTCAGAAAACGATAAGATGAATATTTTTCCTTTTTTTTCTCGTTCAGGGACTACGTTTAAGAATACCGTTGGTGAATCTTCTTCACAAAATGGTTCATCACGCGGGCTAAACCTGGTGTTGATCGTCATAGTGCTTCTGGCCATTTTTATCCTGGCAATTGCAGTCGTATTCGGAATATCATTTTTTCGGCGACACCAAGGTCATAAGAACCAAGGCAAGTTTGTTGCATTATTTGCCTATTTGCTTATCTTTTTGTTTTCTTGAAATAAGATAAGCCGATTGAATATCGAAGGACGAAGCGGAAGTATTTTCTTGTCTGGTATAGTACACTTCCTAGCTGATGTCAAGTCTTTGGCTTCTTCACAAGACTAGTTCTTCCATTAAATGGCATATTTTTCATGACAGAATGCATCAATGCATCCTCATTATACTCGTTCATTATCTATATCCCCTCCCCTACAGATTTCAGTTTTCAGAAACGGCATAATAGAATGTGCCACTGTCTCGCATTTCGCAGGTTCGTTCAGTTTTCTTCAAATGTTATTTGACTGTACTTTGATCCTTTATGTTTAGGGTGAATACTTCGACAAGCATTCTAGGGTGCTTTTGGTTTTTTCGAAGACCGAAAATGTGGAGGAGTTCCCAAAGTCATAGATAACCAACCGAGCTTTTTTGATACCTCCAGTTTTCTACTCAATTTCATTGAATATGTTAAAAATTTGAATAAATATTTATCATTAACATATTTTGCAAAAATCTTCCCGAGAAAGTGGTAAAAGTATCTAGGGGGGAACAAAACCCCTTACTCCCAATTGGAAAATAGGACCCCGTCCCCTCCCTGTTGTGCTTTGGGAGGGGAGGGTGCGTAGTTTGTAGATCGGAGGGTTGTTTATATCTTATCTTCGCTTGTTATTAACATGTACGTTCTTCCTTTTCTTTTTTCTTTTTTTTTAACGGCGACAACGTTATTGGTGTGTTTTAACATGAAAACAACATTACGGCAAGTAGTATACATTAGTGTTCGTTGTTTTTAATGAAGCAATCAAATCTCATTTCTCTAGATTTTAAACGCGGAAAGTCCAGAGGTTTGTTAATGAATCATTCGGAAAATTAAGTGTCCATCACAAACTTTTAAGAAATGGCAGAAAATTTTGGCTTTGATTGAAAGCTGCTCTGGATTTTAAGATTATCATTAAAATGAAACAAATGTATCCACGAGGCTTCTCTTTCAGTAGCAGTTATCAAGTGATAATAATTATCATTTTTATTGTCCAGACAATTATAGATTTTTTTCCTTCTAAACTCATTTGTGCCGAAAAATTGCAACCTTTTCTCTATGGAAAATTTGAGTGTTATTTCCATTTGATGCATCCTATTTACTTTAAAGTGTGCATGTGACTTACGTTCTAAAAAGTATGTTACGTCTTTCCTGAAATTTATGTTCGAGGGCAGAATATGACTCTACACTCAAACAGAAGTGAAAAAAATTGAGCTTTATGAATATATTCTAATATATCTTAATCCCGCTAAGCGAGAGGAGATATCATTTTGCCTTACAGATCACCTTCAGATCACCTTCGCGATCGGGTCACTTGCACTTACGAGGTGCCCCCAAGTTCCGAACTGCAATCGATCGATCCTGTGCCTGGCCAACAAATACAGAGTTCCGCCGAGGTTACTGTTCACCTAACCCTTTCACAAACCGAATCTGGGCCGATCACCCATGATCCAGCGAGCGACTGCAAAAAAGAGTGCAAGCACGATCACCTAGACGAGACTAATCGAAAGTCATGGTCAATGAGCGAGGGATGTTCAGATATTCAGGAAAAAGCACGAGAAAACACAGAGTTGGTGAGTGGTGAGAAAGGAATACAGCAGCCACTTGCTTTGTGCGATAAAAAAGAAGAAGGAAAAGATTACGTATACGCTGTGGTTCATAAAGAAAGAAAAGGCGGAGCCAGTTCTGGAGCAAGCACTCTCAAAAAATCATCGGACCGCCCTCAGGAAGGAACAGGGTCACCGGTGAACCGGAGGTCCTGTGTCGATTGTAATGATCGTTCGTCGCATCCAACTGATTTAGGACTCGACAAAAACACAGAGACTGCAGAGAGCGAGACACCTCAGGCTGGCGGGAACAGTGAATATTTGTACGCAGCTGTTGACAAGACGAGAAAGAAGAAACCGCCACAGGTAATAAATTTCACAAATCCTGAGAACTTTCTTCCTTTTATGTGGCAGTGTATACTTAAGTATGCCTAGGCATGATTACGTTAAGTCGGGCAGGCTAGCTGTGACCGAGAAAACAAAACCTATAAATATATATTTACACATCTAAAACTATATATCTAATTTGTTTATATTCATTAAAAAATTAGTGTCCATAACTGTTCGCTTTTGTCCATCAAAAAGAAAAAAAAAAAAAAATTTTTGAAATTCTTAAAATATTAAAAGATATAAAAAATGTTTATATTTAAGTAATTAGCTAATAAGACTTTTCATAAAAATATTATAAAACTTGATTAATATTATATGTTTTTATAAGGATTTATTTGTTGAAATGAACTATTTTGAAAGTACTTTAAATGATCTTATTATTATTATTATTATTTTTATTATCATCATTATTATTTTATTAGCATCTTTTTTTGCTTCAGTGCTGTTTAATCTAGGGAAAAAATCTTGATACATTCACCTCTTCGATTCAAATTATAAACCGATGACAGTCAGGCGTGCAGCTGAAATACGGCAGCTGGACTTGCTTTTAAGTATCTAAAGGTTCCTCGAAAAACTACATGGGTATATCAAAACTAACAGACAAACGAACAAAAATAAGACCAAAAACAAATCACAGCAAAAGGGCAAGACTGATCTTGTCAGCTTATCATATTCGTTTCGTTTTTTTTTTTTTTTCTCATTAGCTACTATGTTGCTAATATTATTCGATGTCGCTGGTTTCACGAATTGCCTATAAGATATCATTCACTTTCTAATGATCTAGAAGCCCCCTCCATACCGTGGTCTTGTGTACGCAGATCTGGTCCATTCCCGAGAAAGTAGCGCAAAGCTTGTCAAAGAACAGTCCCAAACAGTGTACGCCCAAATCGATCATGCCAAGACAGCAAGCGTGATGATATCGCAGCACAATCTGGAGGGAAAAAAGAAAGGCGAACATCAGTGAACTCTGTTCGTTTTCAATACTAAAAATAATTTCACGAAGAACATAAAAATTAACTTAAACCTTAAAGAGAAATGATTGCTGTTAGAGAACTATTAAAGTATATGTTTACATGTAAGTGTCTTGCATGTTCCCCAACCATCATTACAAGTTATCCTTTAGGATCAGTCTAACTAACAACTTTTACAATGGTAAAATATTGTAACAATAAGTAATGTTGTGTACCAGAATACTTACGATGATTTACTTTAAGGTACATAAAAAACCGAACAAAAAAAAACAGTGTTACTTACAAGGGATAAGTATGTATGGCGATTAGTTGGAAATCAGCATGCTGCGCTCGGGCGTACAGAAGGAAAACCTTCCGAAGGTTCAAAGCACTTAGAACTTGGAATTTAGCTCTATGTAACTGAGAGGCTTTATCTTTGTATAGTTGAACTATCAAGTGAAGTCAAGAGATTATCCTTAATTTCTTTTCCCTTTTATAATTAAGTTATGAATTCCAAAGGCCTGACGACGTTTAATTAAACTTCAGCGTTAGCGTAGTACTTGCTTGTATTTCCAAATATCATGGTATGGTGTATCATAAAATAAAACACGGCAAATAAATGAACAATTTTATATAATCAATGGGAAATATTTGATAACGTGATTAGATTATTCGCGATACATATTATTCCTACTGATGAAAATGACACAACAATCTGCCAGTAAATTCTGGACGGAAAGGTACTCCGACAATGCTTTATTTTGTTTGTATTGTGTGAATTATGTTATGTCTCAATCACTAAGCTTTGGAATTCAAGCGATCACTTATCTTCCAAACTGACTATTCGTGTAAAGAACATCAGTAATACCGGCTTAACTATCACAGCAGTCAAACGTCGGGCATGCGTAAGGGGATCGATTTTCGCCGGCCGCGTGCCAATTTCCCGCTCAAAATATCCAAGGAAAACTTAAAAAGGACAGCTGCTATCCTGGAAAATAGGCGAAAGAATATTGAAACATTCAGAGGAATCTTCTAACAGACTAAAAATATAGCCGTTAAGCGCAAAAATTGGCAAATTTTAAACGTTGGTCGATAAAAGAACCTTCACCGTATAAATTTTTCATCTTATCACGATAAGGAAGAAAGTGAAACATCAGCCGTAAAATGGCCAAATTTTTTAACGTTAGTCAAAAAAGCCATCAACTCACTGATACTCCTTTAAAAGGAAAAACAAAACTATGGTAAGGAAAACTCCACTTTTTGAATACAACAGGTTATATTTGAAAAAACCATGACCTCCAGGTACGTGTAGTTGTTTGTAACTCGTGTGAGGCTACATGGATTTGACAGCCTGAAAGCACGCCAAATAGTCAATACCAGTTTCACACATGCACAAACGTTTGACTGTTATGTCCACTCGACTGTGCCGCAGGCCACTTTTTTGTTTCCTACCGCATTTCGTCGTTACATGTGATCATTTCCTTAACAGATTCACAGCAACCTGGAATTCATTTGTCAATTGGGTAGTCACGACTACAAACTTCCTGTTGCATCATACAATGTATTATCGATTCCGGCCTTTCTCGCGAAGTTGATGACCAAAAATAGATGTGCGTAAACGTGTATCAGTGGGTAGCGACAGTGTATCGAGTTCTTGTGTCAGCCGATTTCTCAGTACGGACTCGGATTTTTATTTGTTCTTTGCGACAAATTAACAACACTCTTCATTGTTTTCGGCCTTCATACACACCCTCTTCCTCTGTTGCTTGACCTCGTGATCTAGTTCCCTGTTTCCATTTAATGGCTTTAATTTAACTGTTTTCTCGAAAAAGACCATATTTTCCACAAGTTTTCATCAGAAACCGGCAGGATTATGAACAATTTGGACGACAGATCAGAGAAAACAAAAACAGATAGTATGTCAGAGTAAGGTGGAGCCCTTTCAAAGCTCTTCCTAAATCAGTTCAAAACGTGACAAAGCAAAATCAGAAATCTTTCGGAGAGGTAAGTAAACAGATATGACCAGGCCCTCAACATGAGGAGATGAGCCATCGTATCACGTGGGCTAAATAATTTAGTGGGAAAATATAATTCTCGAGATTTGAAGCGCAGGTAAGTTGAGATCACGTTCAGTCGAAAAAAATTTTCCGGACTCCGACAGGAATCATCCGATCAGTTGTTTCGGTCCTACTATGTGCCTCTTAAGACGCTTTTCTGTCCGACGCGAAATGACTGTTGGAAGATTGCTATATCACTCTTCGAATATACTGATGACTGGGTGAGGAACTACATCTGGTTGACTCAGTGTTGAATCTTAAAAATAATTTCTAAACTTTGCATTGAACAATCTTTCAGAAAATAAGTCACTGACCCAAATATTTGCGGAAATATTGATAAAAAACGCTCCAAATTTCTTAATCTAGCTTACATGTAAATATCTTACTTGAATGAAAGCTTTAAGTGATCAAAATCAGGTTACGCATCGATCTATTTATTTGCTTTTTTTGGTTTGTTTTTGTTCAATCGCTATCATCACTGAAGCGATAGTCAGGCGGAAACCCAAGTTACAGACAAGGTGACCGCAATCATTTCCATATACATGTCCGAATGCGCGTGGGTTTAAATTTCTCTGGAATCGCTCGAGTATTCTTGTCTCAAGCAATACCAAACAGTTAATGACTTAAACGTTTAGGACTCGCATTTGTATTTAATCTTCTCATCTATTTTAAAATAATGTAGGAAGATTCCAAAATTTTCTAATCAGAAAAGTATCGGCCTTCTTCATAAATCTTAGACTTCATGTCTGGAAAATGTGAAATATCACAAATTCTTCCTACTGCCTTAATTGTCAACCGTTTAGTCACCGGAAATTATTCAATGAACTTAGATGGATAACAGCCCTAAAAAACCTGTGTTCATCAACCGAATTCAGGGAGCGTTAGAATTAGAAATATATCCTTTTCTAATTGGTTAACCATAATGTATTACATGCCAGCATAGAGATGCGTCATATACATTCCATACTCTGTAGCTTCCTGTAGTTGACAAATGTGTTGTTCATTAACAAGCTGAATTTTTCTTCGTTTTTCTCCTCAAGGAGCTTGACACCTTGGAAGAAACATCGTTACGTTATGCAAAGTACAGAGCAAGTCACTGAAGCGACACGGGGCCGGGAGTCCTTTGTTTTTCAGTCTTAGATTATTGCTGTAGCTTAGTTATATCTGGTGCGAGTTTAGTGTATTCCTAACCACATTGATATCATTCTCGTATGTATTGTTATATATCAAGGATTACCAAACAAAACGAAATGAGATAAAGCGGAATTAGTTATGTGATTTATTCAAATTAATGGTGGAAAGGAAAGAAGAGAATGTGCGTGACTATTTTGGGGACGTTGATATGGTTTGAGTCTTCAAACTGGACAGACATCTTCTCTTGCGCCAGAAATTTATCAAACTTTCTTTAATGAGGGCATTGATAAAGAAAATAAGAATACTCACATACTTATTATTTCTGTTAAAGTCGCTCCTTCTGTCATGATGGGGTGGGATGGAATAAAAACGGATTGAACATAGAACATACGATTCAGCTACGTTAATCCCGAAGGAAGAAGATGATCCAGGAACGTTTATTACAACTTAATTTATTCAACAGTCCACTGTTGACCATATTTATGAGGTCACATTCGGTAACAATTACCATACCTAAATTTCATTTTATTTTGCGACATGACAGAGTGGTTACAGAAAAAGACACGACTATTACCATGCACTCAAGCGATTGTCCATACATACTATATCATGTCACTCCAAAAACTCACCTACAACAGCTGGCTTATATTTATCTAACAAAAGTATGTCTTATATATTAATTAAGGGCCATTTAGTTTAGATACTGCTGCTATTGGCATAGCACCGTTTTGTTCGCAAGGGGCAGCGCATGATAAAAGTCCTTGACCGTAATTTCAGCGCAACTCGATCATGCCCGATAGATGATATGACGGTTGTCGGCAAGCGGACACCTTTGTTCGGGGGTACAAAGTGCAAAGGGAGGGCAAATGTTTCTCTTTTGTTGTCTGCTTATAAGCCCGCAGTAATTACGATAGGCTATTTTTACTCTTAGAGGTAAGATTTCAAAAACAGGACTAGTATAATTTGCTCACCTAGATTGATGGTCAGAATCGAGTCTTGCTGCAGTTGTACGGTAAACTATCTGGATATATGGCTAAATGCAGCTCCTATACCCCTACTTTTAATGTAGATGTCTAATCCAAACTTTACCCTGAAAGTTTATCGCCGCATTTCTTGACCCCTTATCTTCATTTCTACTTTCTCAGAGCTCTTATTGCTCGGAAAAATTAACAGACCTAGTTGCCTTGCCATTTCTTTTTCTTTTGGGCTACTTCATAGACAGATATGTTTAAGTGATGGGGGCAATATTGAGCGCAGTGAAATTGAACTGAAAAAGACAATATTTGTTAATGATTAGGATAAATCAGCTCTTCTTCTTAAAATTCTAGATAATTCGCTGCTGTTGAAATCGAAATTTTATAGGGTGTTTAAGGAACAGAGCTGATGGAAGCTTTTTGTTTTCGATATGGCAAGATCTTGGGCCATATTTTAAGAACCACGCGCTTCATTTTGTGAAACAATAACAGGAACACAAAAAAACAAAATACCGGCTTCATCCCGCTCGCACTGTTTCATAGCAAGCTACAATATCACTGCTATCGCCCACTTAAGTTTTCTCTGAACAATAGTCAGTAACCACAACTATAACATACTTAGCCGCATTTTGATGAAATGTATGTCCTGCGGAAAACCTTCTTAATTCGGGAAAATAATTAAATTGACTGAACAAATATGTTCGCCGGCTGTTAACCGTGATTTTGACAATAAGAAACAATCGTTTTCTGGGTGTTAAATGTTTAGGAAAACCGCCGGATAAAGAGACGGAATACTTCAATTCACCGGCTGGAAAGCAACGGGAAACTTTGGATTGTCCATTAACAAAAAAATTCCAGAAAGCGTTTGTATAATGCCACTTTTTCCAAGATTAAGAGCTTATTTTCTGATCAGGTAAAAATAATTTTATTTGACATGAATAAATAGGCATTAATATTGAAATCATCTGAGAGCAAGTGTGAGACACCATAGAAAATCATATGATTGAACACCCCTAAAATGCTAGTTTGCCGTTTCCATAATTAAGATCGTGATGTAACGGAGCTACCCAGCTTTCCTTATTTCTTTTAACTGAAGTTTGTAGTCAGTTTTCTCAACGAATATAATTAACCACACTTATACACGCGTGATTCAGATGAGGCTCTTTATACGTACAGTAATACCATTAATCATAGCGAATTCAATAAAAGGCTTTGGAAACCATTAAACGGGTGAGCACTGCCTGTGCTGTTTCATTTGCACTTCATAAAGTTTCATTTTTCGTTATTTCAGCCTTGACTTATTCAGGCAGATAACGTTGTTTTAAAAGCAAAACACGACAAAACAAAAAAAAGAAAAAGAAAAGAAAGGAATCTGCTTAAGGAGAATTGTTTGAGTAGCCTAGCCTATCCATTGTTCCTTCAAGGGTGAAAAGAAAATAAAAGATAACCGATTCTTCTAGATGGGTTTGCGGATAAGAGCTTGTGCAAAATTCTATCCCCGAACAACTCAAAAATTTCAGCTCAACCTAAACACTACATTAAGGCATAAACTTGTCCAACATTTCTTAATTTCTACCGTCTCTTCCCTCTCCAGTGGAGTTGATTTAAGTGTAATGTTAAAAGCGCAAAATGCTGGACGCAATGGAGGCCAAATTTCAGTTTTTGTGCCCAGTTACGTACTCCACCTATCAGAAATTCGAAGAATAACTCAAACTAAAGAATAAGTTTATTTACCTTAGCGTATACCTGCTTTACTACTTCGCATCATGCCGAAATTTTCACTGGAAAAGAAAAATAAACAACACTAGGTTTTACATGTTTACGACAGAAGCAGTGGATTAAAGCCGGTTTTTCGTTTGTTTTCTGTTGTCTGTGCCGTTGTATTTGTTACTTAAGTATTGCCACATCGAAAAACAAACAAACAAACAAATTAAACAAACAAGAACAAAAAACTTCCGTCAGCTCTGTTCCTTAAACACCCTATAAAAATTTCGATTTCAACCTCACTGAACATTTCGACCGTATCTGCAGTAAACAGGAGTCTACAGGAAATTATGAGGAGCGCTGCTTGTTCTTCATTATTGTGTGCGCTTGGTGTTGCTAATGTTACTGAAGACCATGTCATCAATGGTTAGTACATTCATCCTTAAGTATATAATTATACTTTGAATTCATCTTGGTAAAATATGAAGTGAAGGTGATCAAACGAGTACACTGTAAATGTATCTTTCTTGCGGGGATGTTGCTGGGACTGACTCAATGCTTTCCTTTGAAAGAAGGTCAGTTTTGTTTACATTTGGCAAGGAAAGCGAACAAGGTCGGCGTACGGTTGAGGAAAACATGTTTAAAAGGATATGTGTCAATTATCATAACTTGATACTCTAGAAATCAGCTTCCCTCTGCTTCCGTCAGCTCTGTTCCTTAAACACCTTCTAAAATTTCGATTTCAACCTTACTGAACATCTTAGACAGTTTTTGCGCTAAATTGCAATCAATGGGAGATTTGAGGACCGCTATTTGCACAATATTTCCGTTTGCATTTGGCTTTACTAATGGTACTGAAGACCATGCCACAAATGGAAAGCACATTTCTCCTTAAGTTTTTAATTAATAATACTTTGAATTCATCCTTGTAAAATATGAACTGAAGGCCCTCGAACGTGTATACAATCAATGTATCTTTCTTGCGGGGACTGTGCTCCAACTGTTTCAATGCTTTTCGTTGAAAGTACGTTAGGTTTTCAAAGACAACGCTATGGACATTGCTTATCCCAGCAGTATGCAGGACGCGTGTCACATGAACTTCGTAGTAGATATCGCTCACCGGAGAGTCTTTGTAGCGCAGTGGTAAAGTATCGGGGCGCTGAATGCGAAGGTTTGAGGTTCGATTCCTCTTGGAGACTCAGAAATTTTTCTTTGTCCCACGCTCGTGACAAGACGAAAAACATCTTTCTTTATTTCTTTACCGAGCTAAAAATTTACCATCTCTCTTATTCTATTAACGTCAGGTTTGTATACATTTGGCAGGAAAAAGCGAACAGGGTCGACGCATGGGTTGGGGAAAAAAATTACAAAGGATATGAGTCGATTATCATTACTAGATACTCCACAAATCAGCTATAAAGAAGCTAAACGAAAAAGTTTTAAGTCCTAACCACTTATAAAACTAGCGCAAAAGCGAGAAAAATATAATTTGTGAGGGAATAGTAAAAGCTTTGCACTGAAGCAACCGGAATTTGCAGTTCTCTTTATCGTCAATTACTTACGAAATTATTAATATTGTTCTTCTTTCAACTGAACTACTGCTGCATATTATATTTCGATTCAATTTATAAGTTCGCGTTTTTGCGTGAGGTTGTGCAAGAATTATGTAACAGCGGTAACGTTTTATTTCTCGCCAGTATAGGAAACTAACTCAGTCGTTTAGTTAGTTTTCGCTTGCGCCGTAACATTTTTGTTTAAGAGTTTTACTACCTAATCTCGTTACGCCTCAAATTGTAAGTTGGTTTCTATTTCATGTAGCTTTGCCGTTATTCTTGTTGTTGTTATATTTGTACTTAGATATTCGTATTTCTGATAATTTTTTGTCGAATCACATTTACACATCTTTACATCTAAATGTTTGGCTCTCTGACAGAAAGATTAAACGTGCATTCATGTTGTGGCGTAAAACATGTAGTATTTAGCTACATACACGATTTTATATATAAACGCCTACGTATTTGCATCAGTTACCATAATGTAGAAACAAAGTTCAAGTTCACCTTTATCTCATTATACATGGGATTGAAGGGAAAGGGAAGGTGGATACCACCCCTCAGGTGTTTTTTTACTTATGTAGTGATCTTATCTTGGCAATTCAAAGTTTCGTTCACTAAATCGCTACTGCACCATGGCAGATGTAAAAACTTTCGTGTATGTCAGAGGGCTTTATTCAGTTCTCCTTCTGTGCAGCTTCTTCTAATTCTTGAATGATATATACAATTTAAAGATATATACTTGTTCGTCTTTTTTCTCTTTTATTGGTCGGCCTCCCATATACTTTAGTTATGGTCTGCTCCAAGTATTATTTCCACAAGGAAATAATTGACTGGAGGAGAGCCAGTGAAAAATGTAGCAATCAAGAAAATGGTTCACTTGTCTCTATGGAAACCGAAAAAGAATGGCTCTTTTTCAAGAACTTAACCAAAGTGCGAACCAAGAAACGTTGGCTCATTGGCTTTGAAAGAGTTGATAGATCTCATACGTGGCACTGGTTGAGTGGAAGCATCGCCTGGGTCAACGGGATATCAGCTGGAACATGGCGTTGGAATAAAGGAGAACCAAACAATCTTGAAACAGAAAAATGCGTAGAGATGTGGCAAAACGGAAAGTATAGCAACATGATGTGCCGGGGAGAACATTATGATGACAATCCAGGATATATATGTGAGAAGAAATTCAGTAAGTGCGTGATCATGCTGAAGCTATGTTAAACCAATAAAAAAATCACAGTAAGAAAAAAAATAAGTTGTAAGCGAACTTTGATTTTGAATCGAGCAACTCGTGTTCATATTTTCTTCCTAGATTGTTCCACCATATCCAACAATTCAGAAAATGATGATATCTTCATCGAGGGAACAACAAGACCTCGATCAACCCCCCAACCGCTGGCGACAAAGAAAACGTCCACCTCACTCAGAACTCAGTTGACGAATACTCGCAACAAGCTTCCAGAAGGTAAGATTTACTTCGACGGAAATTTTAACTATACAGAATTAGAAAAATGAATACGCGATTCCAGTTCGTTAGCAGCACCTGGAAAAAAAAAGTGCGATGTGATACTGTAACTAGAAGATCTATTACTATAAAATCAAGCTTTAGAACACGCAAAAAACAGTAAACTCGTCTATTGAGTAAGAATAAAACAAATTAGAAGCGATGTTTTTGAGCGGTTTAATGGGCTATTAAAATGTATTTTTTTCCATAACTGTCCTGCTAAAAGGGAAGACTCTATAAAGAAGGGATCATTCTTCTACCATTTTACACTTGGACGCTCTGGCAGCGACTATCAGTTCCAACACCTCATTCAATTTCGATGACGATTCGTCGCGTAATAATTTAATCCGAAAGGCTTTTGCTACTGGTCTGTGACTGACAGACAAATATTAAGATGATAAATGATTATCATCATAAAGTTTTTCTTAAAGTGAGAAACGTTCGGAGAATATCTACGCTGCTAAGATCGTGACAGCCAGTGATTCATTCTGCAAGAAGAGATTTTGAATTTTTCCTACTAGTATTTCCTCAACTAACTTGAGCGTATTGGCAGCATGATATCTTTTTTTTAAAAAGGAAAATGAATGGTTCTCGAACTACCTTGCTTTCAGTGACTAGACTTGAAGAAACTTAAACGAATGCTTGAGGGTGACAATGGAAAAAAAAATGGTAGGGCTAGCCACTATTCTCCTATTAGATTAAATAGCCAAACCAGAAGGATTTCTATCCTAACGGTAACAGCAGGGTTTTTTTTACTGTCATTGACAGACAAACCACATTTCAATTTCTATTGAGAGTCTCCTGGCGGTGTTGAGTACCAAAGAAGGCAGAATTGTCTCTTTTTTCTCTAAAGCACGGGTTACATAAGCGTCAGGTTATCCAAAGACACCAAAAGGAGTGACTTTCTTGTGTAAGCAGTAACACTCTTTCAGCCTTTTCGTGCCTCGTTCCCATTGGCTAAGTACATATCAGCATCAGTTAACAATCTTTAGAATGATGAAACGGATTCGTTACTAGAAACTTTGAAAATGGGATTTGAAAATGATTTCGTTTCTCTCTGTAGCAAAGAATTTTAAGAGCGCTAGGGGAGGAGAATCAATCAAAGAGCGACGCACGTATAGCTTCTTTGACGTAATCGACTATACTTGAAGTCTAGAGGTGCAACTGCGCAGCGACACCAGAGACTCAAAAGAATTAACTTTTTAGGACTACGTAACCTTAAAGTCTGGCAAATAAGTGGGTTAAAAGACTAGAAAAATGTTATTGTAAGAGGTTCAACTTAGTAACAGAAAATCTGTCCCAGCTAGTGACAAAGTCTAACAACATTTTCGTGTAAGGTTTGATATACCACCTTGATAAAAACCACATCATAAGCAGAGTCAATTCGCACATTGTTAGGTAAAGAAAGATGAAATAAAACAATTAATTTTCGATTTATTGATATTTTGTGAGCATATAGGTAAAATAAATCGAGGCATTTAGTTGGTTCGTGGGTAGTTCTAAATGTAACGATTTTTAAAATTAATTTTCTATATTGCTTTGTGTCAGGGTCAACTCGGAGGCCACAAACACTGGAAGCTACTCGTCTTAAAGAATCATCAGCAAAGGTGACAAAACTGTACACCAAACCAACAACTGCAACATTTTCAACACTGCAAAATCGATCCACATTCAATCTCTCAACACAAGGTATAATGTAACGATATCAATGTCGTCTATGTCTATTTTATAAACGTCTACATGCTTCTAGCAGTTTTAAAGCATAATTTTATATTGGATTGCCATAGAGTTATGAGAGTAACAAAGCTTAAGATATTAATAAAAATGTTTCGGGCTGGGAGGAGTAGAAATGTAACTCATGAGTTTATAGAAAATTAGAATTTTTAATATTTTAACTATCGATCACAGTTCGTGTAAACATCATTATATTTCATTTGGTTATTAACGTATCTTTACAAGCCTTTTATTTGTTTTAGTGTCCATTAGAACCTTTTTGGTTTAATCGGCCTTTGTTTCTCAGAAAACCACTTCGCAAAAAAATATATGTTTTTTTTCTTGTTCAGGGACTACGTTTGAGACAGCCGTAGGTGAATTTTGTCCGCAAAACGTTTCAACTGGCACGTTAAACTTGGTGTTGATCGTCATAGTGCTTCTGGCCATTTTCATCTTGGCAATTGCAGTCGCATTCCGAGTATTGTTTTTTCGGCGACACCAAGGTCGTATGAACCAAGGCAAGTTTCTTGCATTATTTGCGTTTTGGTTATCTTAAAATTATATCAATGATACGGTTATTTAGATATGGCGGCATAGCCGAGAGCAACCCTAGCTTTTTGAGTGCTCTCTAAACTTCGCAAGTGCATCCATAACTCGATATACGCACAGCTAAAAGCATGAGCAAATTCTGCTATAACAGAGCGACAACAAGGATCTGCGCGAAGAAGCCTTTTATTGTGATAGAGTGCAAAATTCTCACAACGCATAAAGAAAAGTAGACAAACGTTCCTATTGGCTGGTCAAAAACACGCCACATTTCATTGTTTGGTTTGAGCGAGAACATTTAATCCAGTTAACCGATAACTGTGAATGAAAAGCTCAAAATTTACGGGGAAAATGGAGAAAATCAAAGCCAAATTTACTCAAGTGTTACTAAAAAATGTTCTAAAAGTCAAAGACCCAGTCTTCCGACAAATTGGCGAAACGTGCAACTTGCGAGTTTTTTTCGGCTTTATTTTTGTTGCTTGTTGGATCAGGACCTAAAAGGTCAATTCCGATAGAAAAATTGGGCAGTTCTTCGCTGGTTTCTTCTATATTTCACACTGAAGCCAGGTAAAAAAAAATGTTTACGTCATCCTATTTACGTACGAGCGTGCGTAAATAAAGATTTTGTTCATAGCGGCTCAATAGGACTTATGTAGGGGAAGCACGCGCGCTATGTTATAACTAAAGATTAACAACACTGTATAACGGAATCAAATCAACGTTTTTCAATTTTTGATTGAATCCTTGTCATATACGTAAGAGGTCGTTTTGTTTCCATAAATTTGACCAACCTGTATACCTCGGGAAAGGAAACCATGATCCTGAACTTCTTTCCAAAAGTCATTAACTACAACTAATTGCATTTTACTTTTTAAATTTTATTTCCTTTGTCGATGTCGTGCTTTTAAGCGCTGCCGTATTGAAAAGCAACCCTGAATATGCAATGAGAAGTTTGCAAATTATTGAAACTACAGGTTTACCGGTGACCATTGTTTGGACACAAATCTCTGCGATGACAAAAACATTTTGCTCTGTTTTTGCCACTTTTGCAGAGTGGCAGGAAACAAACCTGTCTGTTTTACATGCAGTGTTAACCAAAGTCATGTTTCCTGAATGCACATCTTTTTTAGATGCAGAAAGCACAGTGTCGAAAGCATCATCGTAAGTGTCTATTTCTTTTTTTTGAAACGGTTTCCTATTGGTACTCATTGAGTGGCTTTAGTTTTCTATCAGGTCTATTTGATATCTTTCTAATTGCCTGATGAATATGGTTTACTGTTTGCTGCTTGTATTTTGAACTTTTGTTTCGTTGTTTCACTGTTAGCAGTCGTTGTCTTTCTGTTTTCAAATGCCATTGATAGCTAACCTACGTACTTTTCTGTTTCTTTTTGAATGTTTATTTGTAACCTGTCTCTACACAGAAATCAACGCGACTTTCAAGACAATTTGCCCATGGTTACTTTGAATGGATGTGCACAGCCTAGTTTTTCCGGAAATGAGACCATGAATGAGACGCTCCAATGTGAACCGTCTGTCCAACGGGAGGGTTTATATGCCACACTGTGTCCTCAGTCAATGATGGTAATCATACATAAAATGAAACGAAAACTACTCACTAGGATCCAAATATTATTTTCAAAAAACAAACAAACAAACAAAATTAACTTAAAATTTTCCAAACCAATAAAACTGTCTATTTCGTAGATGCCTGAAGGGAATGATTCACGAACGTACGTGTCGATTGAAAAATCTACAAAAGAAGCAAAAGACATTGAATATGAGATTCCAATACCAACTCAAAGGTATGCTAATCACCATCAGAAAACGTGTCAAAAGCTATAGTGGATTGTTTGTTAGACATTTAAGGGTAATTTTAGATTATAAAGCTGAAGTAAAGCACTTAGATTTTGGAAGGTGTTTATTTCATGGGTGGCAATCAAATCCACAGATTTTCCTCTCCGCTCAAAAACATATATACCCTTAAAATTCCGGTTTTATTCATTCCTCGCATCAATTAACAGCTAACCTAGATTTGTTTCCTCTTTTGTTGTTGTTTTCTTTTTATTTATTTAGGCTCCAACGTAAACCGTTTGTGCAACGAGAGGGTGTATATACAGCGCTGTGCCCAGAGCCAATGATGGTAATGAATTAAGCAAAAAATGAATTTGAATTACCTAATATGATCCCCATATGGTTTTGCAACATTAGATTTTCAAAACAAACAAACAAAAAAACAAGATGAAATGAAAAAAAATACGATACGTTAAAGTGTTTTCAAACTACCAGCTATATCCATTTATCTATTCCTCTATATATCTATTTAAACATCGCAATTTCTTTGGTAAAACGTCACATTATTGCTAGCTAGAGGGATCGCATTTGGAAACGGGCATTACGTTACAATACCACTAGTCTAAATTTTTAGCCGTATTTATGCCAATTAAAAAATCTATATTACTGAAAGATGTGGTAGATTAATTTATGACCTTAACAGTAAACACAACATGTCACAAAGACGTGAATAGAAGTATCATTGAAATACATACATGTTTTACACGATCAGGAGAAAATAATATTTTCACTTGATACGAATTATCCATTTTGTTCATTTACAATGGAGTGTGTAGTCAAGTAAACAACAATTATCAAAGGAATCGAGAGCACAGTTCGATAAACCTTGTCTCTCATGTCGATTACACCATCAGTTTTCTCACGAATAAAACTGGATATTTTTCAGGCTCCAGAAGGATAGGTTTCCCGAAGTTACCTATCTACAGTGGAAGACAGCGACGTTGGATATGTGGATCAAATACCTGCTCCTGAGTATATTAACGCTTGAGTGGATTGCTCAGAAGACGGTTGGCGCTTATTCAGGACGCTGGAGTAATCAATGTAACAATAGTATTTGTCCCAGCAAAGCCACCAAGGGAAAACAAGAATTTCCGTTGACACAGCGTTAATTCAATCGCGGTTTGAGAAACCCACTTCTTGTAAATGGAATGTTGGTTATGCTATTTTGTCGTATAAACAATCTTTTTTGTTCACGCATGTTGCGCCTGATGATGTGAAACTCGCTGTTACCACTGCTTGGAACTTATAGCAGACTCGCCATTAAATAATTATGATATTAATAATAACGAGAAAACAACTCAAAATATTTCTTTTATAGTAATATAGCTATATAAATTCGTGATGATCACTGTCATTTAGTATGTTTTAAAAATGAATTTTGCAAGCGTAATACTATTACGCTTGCAAAATTCATTTTTAAATTCCATTGTACAGTGGATGCTTAACCTAAAGGAAAGAACAAAAACAAAAAAGCATCATATCATTCATAACACTGTAATCCCTGTTAGAGGAAAAAAAGTAGAAAAGAGACAACTGTATCTGCACACGTGCATACGTTTGAGTGCAGAGATGGCGTGATGGGTGAATAATGATGAATGAATGTGAATAAGGTGAATATAAGTCTTGCGCCTTCTAGCGCAAGACTCACAGCGTTGACATATCGATACCTTTTTCGACTACGAGGTCTTTTTGTACGATTTTTAAAAAAGGCTTTAAGGTAATTGTTCCAGAACCCTTTAATTCTTCCCCTGGTAATTTTTTTTTCCTTTGGGCTATTTCGTAGACCGATGCATTCAAGTGATGGGAGCAATATTGCGTGCAGTGAAATTGAACTGAAATAGACAATATTTATGAAAGATTAAGATATATCAGCTTTCCTTCCTAAATTTTTAGATAATTCTTTTCTGTTGAAGTCGAAATTTTATAAGGTGCAAATTAACAGAGCTGACGGACGCGTTTTTGTTTTGTTTTTTGTCTTCCTGGAGCCATTTTTATGAACCACACGCTTCAGTTTGTAAAACAATAACAGCAACACAAAACAAACGAAACACCGGCTTCATCCCGCTGCTTCTGTTGTTATACCCAGCTACATTACAATTGTCATCGCCCAATAAAAAATATTCCTCTGAACATAAGTCAGTAGCCGCAACTATAAAATGTTTCCCCTGCGGAAAGCCTTAATTCGAGAAAAGCATTCAAGTTGATTGAACAAGTATGTTTGCCTGCTGTTCACCGGGCTTTTACGCACATGAAACAATCGTTTTCCGGGTGTTAACTGTGAAGGAAAACCGCCGGATAATGGAACGAATACGTTCATTAAACGACTGGAAAGCAACGGGAAATTTCGGATCGTTCTTTTAGAAAATTTTAGAAAGCGTTCGCGTAATGCCGCTTTTTGCAAGAGCAAGAGCTCATTTTCCGATCAGGTGAACATCATTTTTTTTGTTTTGACATGAATAAATAGCTAATAAGTATCACAAAGGAAGTAACGGTCCAAAAGAGGTTACCTAAATTAAAAGTTCCTAAACTGCACCGTCCTAACTGGCCATTCATTTGAGCTAAAAATATTTTTGTTGCGAGTAATTCCGTTTCAAAAATTGAAAATCGTTATGTCAACCTTTTCTATCTTCAATGCAAATTTTATTTGGTTTTATTTTATTTTTAGTTTGTAGTCACTTTTCTCAACGAATATAACCACACTTATACGAGCGTGATTAGATAAGACTCTTTGTACGTACAGTAATATTAACCATGGCGAATTCAATAAATGACTGAGGAAATCAATAAACGGATGAACACTGCCTGTGCTGTTTCATTTACACTTCATAAAGTTTCGTTCTTCGTTATTTCAGCATTGACGTATTCAGGTGGATCAAGTTGGTTTAAACGGATTTCAACATCACTGAATATTTCGACTGTATCTGTGCTAAATTTTAATCTGCGGGATATTATGAGGACTGCCGCTTGCACTTTATTACTGTTTGTATTTGGTGTCGCTAATGCTACTGCAGACCAAGTCACTGATGGTAAGTACATTCATCCTAAGTATATTATCATACTTTGAATTCATTTCGGTAAAATATAAACTGGAGGCAATCAAACGTGAACACTATAAATGTGTCTTTCTTTCGGGGATTCCGCTGCAATTGCCTCAATGCTTACCTTTGCAAGAAGATCAGGTTTGTATACATTTGGCAAGAAAGGCGAAACGGGTCGACGGATGGTTGGGGAAAATTATGAAAAGTACAGGAGCCATTATTATAACTTGATACTCTACAAATCAGCTTCCTTCATCTTCCGTCAGCTCTGTTCCTTAAACACCTTACAAAATTTTGATGTCAGCCTCACTGAACATTTTCGATCTTCTCTGCTCTGAACTTGAATCTACGGAATATTTTGAGGACCGTTATTTGCGCCATATTTCTGTTTGTATTTGGTGTTGTCAAAGCTACTAAATCCCAAGTCACCGATGGTAAGCACATTTATCCCTAAGCATATTATTATACGTTGAATTCATATAAACTAAAGGTAATCAAACGTGTACACTGTAAATGTATTTTTTCTGGCGGAGATTCCGCTGCGATGGTCTCAATGCTTTCCTTTGCAAGAAGATCAGGTTTTTACACATTTGGCAAGAAAAGCGAACTGGGTCGACGGATGGTTGGGAAAAAATTTAAAAGGATATGAGTCAATTATTATAACTTGATACTCTGTAAATCGGCTTCCCTCAGCTTTCGTCAGCTCTGTTTCTCACAAACCTTATTAAATTTTGATATCTACCTCACTGAACATTTTCAATCATCTCTGCGCTAAATTTGAATCTACGGGATATTTTGAGGACCGCTATTCGCACCATATTTCTGTTTACATTTGGCGTTAATAATGCTACCGAAGACCAAGCCACCAATGCTATGCAAATTTCTCCTTAGGTTTTTAATCATACTTTGAAATCCTTCTTTGTAAAATATGAACTGAAGGCCCTCAAACGTGTACACTGTAAATGTCTCTTTCTTGCGGAAACTCCACTCCAACTGTTTCAATGGTTTTCTTTTAAATCAAGTTTAGGTTTGTACACATTTGGCAAGAAAAAGCGAACAGGGTCGACGTATAGGTTGGGGAAACGATTTGCATAGGATATATGAGTCGATTATTTTGACTTGATGTTCTAAAATCAGCTTTGAGGAACCTGCACCTTCAGTTCTCTTTCAGTGTAGCTTCGTCTGATTCTTGAATGATATTTACAATTAAAAGATAAGTAAATAGATCATTTTTCCTTGTTTGTCTTTTTTCTCTTTTATCGGTCGGCTTCCCATAAACATTAGATACTGTCTGCTCCAAATATTCTTTCCGCAAAGAAATAATTGACTGGAAAACAGCCAGGGAAAGATGTAGCAATCAAGAGAATGGTTCACTTGTCTCTATGGAAACCGAAAAAGAATGGCACTTTGTCAGGAACTTAACCGGCGAACTCAACCGAGGAAAGAAACGTTGGTTCATTGGCTTAGAAACAGTTGATGGATCTAATACGTGGAGCTGGTTGAGTAAAAGCAAAGCCTACGTCAACAATGGCTCAACTGGAACATGGCGTTGGAGTGAAAACGAACCAAATAATTTTAAAAAAGAAAAATGCGGAGAGATGTTGCAAAACGGAAAGTATAACAACATAGCGTGCCAAAAAGAATCCTATGATGACAGTCCAGGATATATATGTGAAAAGAAAGTCAGTAAGTTCATGATCATGCTGAAGCTATGTTAACCCAAATAAAAATCACAGTAAGAAAAAAAGAAAGTTGTAAGCGAACTTTGGTTTTGAAGCGAGTAACTCATATTCATATTTTCTTGCTAGTTTGTCCCACCATATCCAACAATTCAGAAAATGGTGATATTTTTATTGAGAGAACGAAAAGACCTCGATCAACCCCACAGCCGTCGGTGACAAAGGCGACGTCCACCTCACTCAGAACTCAGTTGACGAATACTCGCAATAAGCTTTCAGAAGGTAAGATTTACTTCGCCTGAAATTTTAACTATACAGAATTAACAAAATTAATACGCGATTCCAGTTCGTTAACATCACTTGGAAAAAATAGCGATGACACTGTGACTAGAAGATCTATTGCTATAAATCAAGCTTTAAAACATGTAAAAGACAGTGAACTCGTCTAATGGGTAAGAAAAAAACAAATTAGAAGCGATGTTTTGAGCGTTTTAATGCGCTATTTTGCACGCGCAGTGGCTCGAACAAAACAAAATGTCTTTTTCCCCCAACAGCCTCTACACAACAAGAAGGGAAGATTCTATAAAGAGACCGTTTGGAGAAGGGATCATTCTTCCACCATTTTACACTTGGACGCCCTGTTAGCGACTATCAATTTCGGCGTCTCGTTCAATTTCGATGACGTTTCGTCGCGTAATCATTTAATCTTAAAGGCTTTTACTCCTTGTCTGTGACTGACAGATAAATATTAAGATGATAATGAATATCATTATTATATCTCGATCAGTTTTTCTTAAAGTAAGAAAAATTCGGAGAATATCTACTCTGCTAAGCTCGTGACGGCTGGTGATTCATACTACAAAAAAGACAATTTGATTTTTCTCTTTAGCTTTTCCTCAACTACCTTGAGCGTATTGGCAGCATGATAGTTTTGAAAACGAATGGTTCTCGAACTACCTTGCTTTTAGTGACTCAACTTGAAGAAACTCAAGCGAATGCTTAAGGGTGACTATGGATAAAAAAAATGGTAGGGTTAGCCCCTATTCTCCTATTAGATTAAATAGCGAAACCAGAAGGACTGCTATCCTGAGGGTAGCTGCGGATCTTTTCTTATTTTATTTTGTTATTTTTATTTTCTGTCATTGATTGACAAATCGCATTTCAATTTCTATTGAGAGTCTCCCGGCGGTGTGGAATACCAAAGAAGGCAGAATTGCCTTTTCTTCTTCTAAAGCACGGGTTACATGAGTGTCAATTAATCAAAAGACCCCAAAACCGAAAAAAATCCAGAGTGACTTTTTTTGTTTAAGCAGGAACACTCTTTTAGCCTTTTCGTGCCTCGTCCCCATTGGCTAAGTATATATCAGCATCAGTTAACAATATTTGGAATGATGAAACAGATTCGTCATTAGAAACTTTGAAAATGGGATTTGAAAGTGATTTGGTTTCTCTCTTTAGCAAAGAATTTCAAGAGCGCTTGGGCGAAGAATCAATCAAAGAATGACGCGCGAAATTGACTATACTTGAAGTCTAGTGGTGCAAATACGCAGCGACACCAGAGACTCAAAAGAATTCAATTTTTAGGACCACGTAACTTTTAAATCTGACGAATAAGTTGGCTAAAAGACTGCTGAATAATGTGATCGTAAAAGGTTTAACTTCTTACCTGAAAATCCGTCCCAGCTAGTGACAGAGTTCTAAGATCATTTTTGTGTAAGGTGTGATGTACCACCTTGATAAAAATGACATCATAAGGACAGTCAATTCGCACAGTTTCAGGTAAAGAAAGATGAAATTAAACAATTAAGTTTCGATGTACTGGTATTTTGTGAGCATATAAGTGAAATAAATTGAGGTATTTAATAGGTTCGTAGGTAATTCTAAATGTAACGATTCCTGTAACTAATTTTCTCTATTGCTTTGCGTCAGGGTCGTCTCGGAGGCCACAAAGACCGAAAACTACTCGTTTTAAGGAATCATCAACAAAGGTGGCAAAACTACACACCCAACCAACAACTGCAACATTTTCAACACCGCAAAACCGATCCACATTCAATCTCTCAACACAAGGTACAATGTAACTTTATCAACGTCGTCTGTCTATGTTATGAACGTCTATATGCTTCTGGCTGTTTTTATGCATATCTAAATCCATGAAAGTTATTACTTGATTGCCAAAGTGTTAGGTGAAGAAAGATGAAATCAAACAACTAGGATTCGATTTAATGGTATTTTGCAGGCATATAAGTGAAATAGATTGAGGTATTCAATAGGTTCGTGGCTAGTTAAATCATGCATTGCTCTCTTTATATAACACCAAAATAATGTTAATATGAATTTCCCAAAACCTTTGTTACAGATCGATTTTAGCAAATGACGAGAGTAACAAAGCTTAAGATCTTTCAAAATAGTGGAATAGAAATGTAACTCATGAGTTTATAAAAAATTTGAACCTTTAATGTTTTAACGATCGATCACAGTTCGTGAAGATAACATTCTATTTCACTTGGTTATTAAGGTATCTTTATCCACCTTTACTTTGTTTTAGTGTCCATTAGAATCTTTCTCGGTTCAATCAGCCTTCGTTTCTTAGAAAGCCACTTAGATTAATATTTTTCTTTCGTTCTTATTCAGGGACTACGTTTGAGAATACCGTTAATGAATCTTCTCCGCAAAACGTTTCAACCGGCAAGTTAAACTTGATGTTTATCGTCATCGTGCTTCTGATTGTATTTATCGTGGCAATTGCAGTCGTATTCGGAATATTGTTTTTTCGGCGACACCAAAGTCATAAGAACCAAGGCAAGTTTCTTCCATCATTTATCTATTTGCTTATATTATCTTATTAGAAGTCATTCCCTTGTCTGGTATAGTACACTCCTTAGGTGATGTGAAGCCTTAAGATTCTTTACAAGGCTAGTTCTTCCATCAAATGGCATATTTTTCATGACTGAATGCTTCCTTATCACACACGTTCTTTATTTATACCCCTCCCCCCTTAAGATTTCAGTTTTCAAAAATGGCAAAATAGAATGTGCTGTTGTGTCGCATTTCTCAGGGTAGCAGGACCAAAACACTTGGCTTAATAGCTCCTCCTCTTTAAGACTACAACAGATGGTCTTTTCCCAGTTTTCTTCAAATGTTATTTTTATTGTACCTTGATCCTTTGTGTTTAAGGTAAGTTCTTCGACATGCATTTCATGGTGCTTTTGGCCTTTTCGAAGACTGAAAATGTAGAGGAGTTTCCCAAAGTTTTTCAATTTTTTGATTCCTTGTGTGCGCGTGTCATAAATAATCGAGCTCTTTTAATACCTCCAGTTTTCCAATCAATCTCAGAGAATATGGTAAAAATTTGAATAAATAATTAAGAAATATATTCGGCAAAATCTGATAAAGTTGTAAAAATATCTAAGGGGAACAAAACACCTTACTCCCAGGTGGAAATAGGATTCTGTCTCCTTCCTGTTATAATTTGGGAGGGGAGGGGTCTGTAGATTGTACATCAGATAGTTGTTTATATCTTAACTTCACTTCCTATTAACATGTACGTTCTTCCTTTTTGTCCTTCATATTTTCTCTTTTTTATTGGCAACGACGGTATCGATGTGTTTTATCATGAAAACAACATAACGGCAAGTAGTATAAAGTAGTATACGCTAATCTTTAGTACTCCGTTTTTAAATGAACTCATCAAATTTTTTTTCTCCAAATTTTGAACATGGAAAGCCAAGTGGTTTGTAAATAAATTCTTCGGGAAATTAAGTGTCATCGAAAAACATTTGAAATGATGGTAGAATATTTCCGATTTGGCTTTGGGTTTAAGGTGCTCTGGATTATAAAAAATTATTATTTAAATGACACAGGACAAAAATTGTGCAGATGTAGCCACGAACCTTTTTTTCAGTCGTACTTAGCAAACGATAATAACAATCATTTTTATCGTCTACATAATAGATTTTCGATTCCTTCTAAGCCCCATTTCTACCGAACATTACAACCATTTCTCAATCGAGTGTTATTTTCATTTGATGCATCATATTTGCTTTAAAGTATACGTGTGACTTCCATCCTTAATAGTATGTTGCTTCTCTTTTGAAATTAACGTTCGAGGGCAGAATACGACGCAAACCTAAAACAAAAGTTTAAAAATATGAGCTTAATGAATATATCCTCATATATCCTAATCCCCCTAAGTGAGAGAGAATATCATTCTCCCTTACAGATCACCTTCAGATCGCCTCCAAGATCGGGTCACATGCACCTACGAGGTGCCCCCGAGTTCCGAACTACAATCGATCGATCCTGCGCATGTTCAACAAATACAGAGCTCTGCAGCGCTTACTGTGCACTTAACACTTTCACAAGCAGAATCTGGGCTTGCCACCTATGAGGAAGTGAGCGACTGCAGCAAAGAGTGCGAGTATGATGACATAGATGAGTCTTATCGAAAGAAAAGGCCAGCAGGCGAGGAATGTTCAGATATTAAGGAAAGAGCACGAGAAAACACAGAGTTGGTGAGTGGTGAGAAAGGAATACAGCATTCACCTTTGTACGATAAAAAAGAAGAAGAAAGGCATCATGTCTACGCTGTTGTTCATAAAGAAAGAAAAGAGAGGGGCAATTCTGAAGCAAGCACTTTCATAAAATCATCATGCCGCCCTCAAGAAGGAACAAGTAGGGTGTCTGTAGAGAGCGAGACACCTCAGGCTGGAGGGAGCATTGAATATCTGTATGCAGCTGTTGACAAAACAAAAAAGAAGAAGAAACAGCCACAGGTAATACATTTCACGAATCCTTACTACATTTCTTTTTTTGACTGAAGATCTGTTTTGCCTTCACCTGTTTTACCTTCAGTTCTAATTTAATCTAAGTAAAAAATATTGATACATTCACTTCTTCGATTCAAAATATAAACTGATGACGTCAAGCGTGCAGCTGAAATACGGCAGCTGGACTTGCTTTTAAGTATCTAAATGTACCTCTAAAATCTGCAAAGGTATATAAAAACTAACAGACTAAAAAACAAATGTAACACCAAAAAAAATCACAGCAAAAAGGCAAGACTGATCTTGTCAGCTTATCCTATTCGTTTCGTTTTTTTTTCTCATTAGCTTCTATGTTTTTAATGTTATTCGGCGTCACTAGTTTCACGAATTGCCTATAAAATACCATTAACTTTTTACGTTTGATCTAGAAGCCTCCTCCATACCGTGGTCATGTGTACGCAAATCTGGTCCATTCACGAGAAAGTGGCGCAAAGCTTGTCAAAGAACAGTCCCAAACAGTGTACGCCCAATTCGATCACGCCCGGACAGCAAGGGTGATGATATCACAGCAGAATCTAGAGGGAAAAAAGAAAGGCAAACATTACTGAACTCTGTTCTTTTCCAATCCTAAATGTAATTTCATGAAGAACATAAAAATTAACTCAAACCATAAAGAAAAATGATTAAATTGTAGTGGAAACAGTAAACAGTAATCACTTGTTCTATCCTCAACCTTTTTGGTAGAAATCATTTAAATGGATGGTATCGTGATGTTTGCAATGTTGTGTATCAGAATACTTTGGATGATTCACTTTAAGGTACAAGAAAAACCGAAAAAATCAGTGTTACTCAGAAGGGATAAGTTTGTATGGCGATTAGTTGGAAATCAGCGCGCTGCGCCAGGGTGTATTGAAAGAAAACCTTTCAAAAGTTCTGAGCACTTTGAACTTGTTTCTTAAATCCATGTTACAGGGCAGCATTATCTTTGTATAGTCGAGCTATCGAGTGAAGTCAAGAGATTATAATCGTTTGGTAAAGTGTAAAACTTTAAAAATATCCTCCATTTTTGTTTGCTTTTATAATTCAGTTAATTTCTAAGGTCTGATGACTTTTAATTAAACTGCAGCGTTAAATATGTCAAATTCTACTACTCGTTTTAACGTTTGTATTTTCAAAGATGATGGTATGGTGTATCAGAAAACAAAACACGATAAGTAAATGAACAATTTGATTTAATCGATGGGAAAGATATATTTAATAACTTGAGTAGAGTATTTGCGATACATATTGATCCTACTAATGAAAATGACACAACTACCTGCCAGTAAATTCTGGACGGAAGGGCACTCCGGCAATGTCTTATTTGTTTCACATATGTGAAATAGATTATGTTTCAGTCACTAGGCTTTGAAATTCAAGCGATCAGTTATCTTCAAACTGACTATTCGTGTAAAGGACATCGCTAACACCGTCTAGTATGCGTAAAATTGAGTCAATTTTCGCCGGCCGAGCGCCAATTTCCCGCTCAAATTTTTAAAGGAAATCTTTAAAAGACAACTGCTGTCCTGCAAAATTGGCGAAAAAATGTTGAACGTTCATGAAAATCTTATAACCACCTAAAGATATTGCCGTTAAGCGCATAAATTGGCGCTTCTTAAACGTAAGTTGACAAAGAACCTCAACGTAGAAATTTTTCATTATATCATCAGGATATGATGATAAATTAACCATTAGCCGTGAAATGGCCAAAATTTTTAACGTTGGTAGAAAAAGCCATCATCTCACTGATCTCTCCTTTAAAAGGAAACAAATGAAAACTCTGACACAGTAAATTAGAAATCCTGCGGAGAAGTAAGTAGGCAGATATGATCAGGCGCTCAACATGAGGAAATGAGCCATCGTATCACGTGGGCTAAATAATTTCGCGAGGAAAGATAATTCTCGAGATTTGATGCGCGGGTAAGTTGAGATCGCGTTCATTCGACCAAATTTTTCTGGAGTCCGATAGGAATCATCCGATCACTTGCCTCGCTCTACTGTATGCCTCTTAAAACACTTTTCTGTGAGACGCGAAATGACTTGGTAGATTGGCAAATCACACTTCGTTTATTTTGATGGCTGGCTGGGGATCTAAATCTGGTTGACTCAGTATTGAATCTTAAGAAGAACTTCAAACACCATACTGTACAAAGTCAATAACACAAATATTTCCGGGAAATTTGATAAAAGAAATATACAAAAAATAGATTTGCATGCAATTGAATAAATAGATGGATTGCGTGACTTCATTAAGATCGATTGAAAATCATGAAGTCTGAACTTTCGTCAACCGAAAAACTCTCCAAATTTCTTAATCTAGCTTACATGTAAGTATCTTACCCAAATGAAAACTTTAATTCATCAAAATCAGATTACGTATCGATTTATTTCTTTATCCATACCTTTTTTTGGTTTGTTTTTGTCAAGCGTTATCATCACTGAAGTGATAGTCAGACGGAAATTCAGTTTACAGACGAGGTGACCGCAATTACTTTCATGTATATGTCCATGTTCACGTAGGTTTAAATTTCTTTTGACTTGCTAGAATATTCTTGTCTCAAGCAATACCAAACAGTTAACGGCTCAAACGTTTAAGACTTGCATTTGTATTTCATCTTCCCATCTATTTTAAGTAATGGCTGAAGATTTTGGAATCGGAAAAGATCAACCTTCTTCATGAGTCTGAGACCTCTGTCTGGAAAATGTGAAATATCGCAAAATCTGCATAGAGCCTTGATTTTCAACCGTTTGCTCACCGGGAATTGTTCCATTAATTTAGATCTATAACAGCCCTAAAAACCTGCGTTCATTAACGAATTCAATAAAGCGTTAGAATTGGAACAACAACACACGTTCATAGAATACACATCCTTCTGTTATTGGTTAATCATAATGTAATACATGCCAACATAGAGATGCATTTTATATCATATGCATTATTGTGACAAATCAAGGATAACCAAACAAATAAAATTAGATAAAGTGGGATTAGTGACGTATTTTATTCGAATTAATGTGGAAAGGAGAGAGGAAAATGAAATAAAAAGCAATTAGACTTGCTCTCCCAGATTGATGGTCAGTATAAAGGATCGAGTCGTGCTTTTGTTGTATGGAGAATTATCTTGGATATTTGGCCAAATACAACTCCTATGCCCCTAAGTTTTATGTAGATCTCTAATCCAAACTCTACCCTGAAAGTTTTATCGCTGCATAACTTGACCACTTATCTTCATTTTTACTTCCTCAGAGCTTTTGATGCTCGGAAAAAATTAACAGACCCAGTTGCCTTGCCATTTCTTTTTCTTTGGGCTTCTTCATAGACAGATATGTTCAGGTGATGGGAGCAATATCGCGTGTAGTGGAATTGAAATGAAAAAGACAATATTCATAAATGATGAAGAGAAATCATCTCTTCTTCCTTTAATTCTAGATAGTTGGTTGCAGACGAAATCGAAATTTTATAAGATGTTTAAGGAACAGAGCTGATGTGGAAGCTTTTTGTTTTTGATATAGCAAGACTTCCTAGAGCCATTTTTTATGAACCACGCGTTTCAGTTAATAAAAAATTAACAGCAACACGGTGAACAAACGAAACATTGGCTTCATCCTGCTGATTCTGTTGTTATAGCCAGCTACAATATCACCGATTGCTATCGCCCAATAGAAAGTTTTCTCTGAGCAATAGTCACGAACCACAACTGTACCGTACCTAGCCGCAGTTTGATGAAACGTATTCCCTTCGGAAAAACTGCTTATAAAGAAATCAACTTGATTGAACAAATTTTTTTGCCCGCTGATAACCGCGTTGCTATCAACAGGAAACAATCGTTTTCCGGGTGCTAGCTATGAGGGAAAACAGCCGAATAATGGAACGGAATACCTCAATTCACCGATTGGAAAGCAAGGGGAAATTTTGGATTGTCTTATTCGAAAATATTAGGAAGCGTTCGCATAATTTTGCTTTTTCTAAGAGTAAGACTTCATTTTCCGATCAGTTGAACATTATGTTTTTTTGACATGAATAAATAGGCAATATTGTTAAAAGTATTAAAGAGTGAGTGTGAGACACTATGGTAAATCATATGATTGAACACCCCTGAAATGCTAGTTTGCAGTTTCCATAGTTAAGATAATGATATGTAAACGCCCCGTAACGGAGTGATCCAGCTTTCCTTATAAATGAGCGTCTTTGTGGATTTCTTTTAACTGAAGTTTGTAGCCAGTTTTCTCAACGAATAGAACCACACTTACACACGAATGATCAGATGAGGCTCTTTATACGTACAGTAATGTCAATCGTAGCGAATTCAGTAAATGGCTGATGAAACTAATAAACGGTTGAGCACTGCCTGTACTGTTTCATCTACACTCCGTGAAATTTTGTTCTTTTTTATTTCAACCTCAACGTTTTCAGGCGGATCAAGTTGGTTTAAACCGAAAACAAAACCAAACAACAAACAAACAAACAGACAAACAAAACAATAAGAAAAGAGCTGCTTAAGGGGAATTATTTGAGTGGCATAGCCTGTCCATTGTTCTTTAAGTAAAAAAAAAAAATAATAACGGATAATCGATTCTTCAAGATGGTTTGCGGATAAGAGCTTGTGCAAACTGCTACGTCCGAACAACTTAAAAATTTCAGCTCCACCAAAAAAGTACATTGAGGCATAAACATGTCAATCTTTTCTTATTGCTACTGTCTCTTCCCTCTCCAGTGGACCTCTTTTTAAGGGTAATGTTTCAAAATGGTGGACACTACAGAGGCCAAATTTCAGTTTTTGCGAACAGTTATGTACTCCTCCTGTTAGGACTTTGAAAAAAAACTCTACCTACAGAATAAGTTTTATTAAAATAAAGTATGCCTGCTTTATTGCTTCGCATCATGCCGGAATTATTACTGGAAACGAAAAAAATTAGGCATTCCAGGCCTTTAAAATTGGAATAACTTAGTTCTATGTGTTACAACAGAAATAGTGGATCAAAGCCAGTTTTTCGTTTATTCCGTTGTCCGTGTCGTTGTAAGTGTTTTGACAGACTGAAGCGCATGGTACTAAAAAATAAATTTCCAAAGTATTGCCAAATCAAAAAAAAAAAAAAACAGCAACAACAACAACGACGACGAAAACAACCAATAAACAAATACTTCCGTTAGCTCTGTTCCTTAAACACCTTATAAAATTTCGATTTCAACCTCACTGAACATTTCTACCGTATCTGTGCTAACTTGGAATCTACGGGATATTATGAGGGCTGCTGTTTGCATTTTTTCACTGTTTGGGCTTGTTGTCGTTAATGCCACTGAAGACCAAATCACCAATGGTAAGCACATTCATCCTTAAGTATTCAATCATACTCTGAATTTATCTTGATAGAATATAAACTGAGTGCAATCAAACGTGTACACTGAAATACATATATATATATATATATATATATATATATATATATATATATATATCTTTTTTTAAAATTTTTTTTTTTTTACGGGGATTCCGTTGCAACTGACTCATTGCACTCCTTTGAAAGAAGGTCAGGTTTGTGTATATTTGGCAAGAAAAGCGAACAAGGTCGACAAATACATGGGAAACATAATTTGAAAAGGACATGAGTCGATTATCATAACTTGATACTCTTTATATCAGCTTCCCTCCGCTTCCGTCAGCTCTTTTCCTTATAAACGTCATCAAATTTCGATTTCAACCTCACTGAACATTTTCGACCGTTTCTGTGTTAAATTGAAATATAGAGCATATTTGCAGGGCCACTATTTACACCCTATTTCTGTTTGCATTTGGATTTATCAGTGCCCCAAAAGTGCACGCTGTGAATGTATCTCTCTTGCGGGGATTCCACTCCAACTTTTTTAATTCTCTCCTTCAAAAATTTGCCAGGTTTGTATACATTTAGCGATAAAAATTGATGAGGGTCGACGGATGGGTGAGGAAAAGAATTTGAAAAGGATATGAGTCGATTATCATAGCTTGATACTCTGCAATTCAGCTTCTCTCAACTTCCGTCAGCCCTTTCCTTAAACACCATATAAAATTTCGATTTCAACCTCACCGAACATTTTCGACCGTTTCTGTGCCAAAATTAGAATCTAGGGGATATTTTAAGGACCGCTATTTGCACAATATTTTTGTTTGCATAAGGCATTACTAATGCTACTGAATACCATGTCACCGATGGTAAGCGCATTTCTCCTTAGGTTGTGAATCATACTTTGAATTCATCCTTGTTAAATAAGAACTAAAGACCCTCAAACGTGTACCCTCTAAATGTATCTCTCTTGTGGGGATTCCGCTCCAACTGTTTTAATGCTTTTCATTGAAAGTACGTTAGTTTTTTCAATGACGCAATCGACATTGTTGATCCTATCAGTAGACCAGACGCGTGTCATAAGAACTTAGTAATGGAACTCGCTCACCGTGGAGTGTCTGAGGTACAATAGTGGAGCATCGGAGCGCAGAATACGGTCTGAGGTTCGATTCCTCATGGGGACTCAGAATTTTTCCTTTGTTCCACGCTCGTGACAAGACGAAAAACATCTTTATGGAGCTCAAAACTTACACCTTATTTACGTTAGGTTTGTATAAATTTGGCAAGAAAAAGCGAACAGGGTCGACAAATGGGTGGGTGAAAAACTTGCGAAGGATATGAGTCGATTATCATAACTTGATGCTCTACAAATCAGCTTTGAAGAACCTACACAAAAACGTTTTAAGTCCTCGCCACTTATAAAACCAGCACAAAAGCCAGAAAAATATAATTTGTGAGGTAATCGGTAAAGCTTTACACTGTGGCAAATAGAATTTGCATTACTTTTTATCGTCAAGTAACTGCGACATTATATTTTATAATTTTTCTTTCAATTGAACTACTGTTGTACATTATGTTTGTATTCAATTAAGTTCACGTTCTTACGTGAGGTTGCGTAAGAATTACGTAACACCGGCAACATTTTATTTCTCGTCCGTATAAGAAAGTAAGTCAGTCGTTTCGTTACTTTTTCCTGGCGTCGTGTTAGTTTTGTTTAAGAGTTTTACTACTGGACCTGGTTATACCCAAAATTGTAGGTTCGTCTCTATTTTATATGGCTTTGTCGTTATTCTTGTTGTTGTTATATTTGTTCTTAGATATTCGTATTAATTATCCATTTTCAGTCGAATCACATTTACACATATACATATTTTTACATTTAAACATCTGTCTATCTGGGAGAAAGATTAATCGTGCATTCATTTTGTGGCGTGAAATATATAGTATTTAGCTACATACATCATAGATAACCCCCTGCGTATTTCTATTTGTTGTTATAATATAGAATCAGAGTTCAAGATCACCTGTATCTCATTAAACATGGGACTAAAGGGAAGGGAAGTGGATGCCAGCCTCCCAGGTGTTTTTTGAGTTATGTAGTGATCTAATCCTGGAAATTCACAATTTCGTTCAGCCAATCCCTACTGCATCATGGCAGATGTAAAAGCTTTCATGTGTGTTCGAGGGTTTAATTCAGTTCTTCTTCTGTGTAGCTTTTTCTAATTCTTGAATGATATATACAACTAAAAGATAAGTAAAACGATCATTTTCCTTGTTTGTCTTTTTTCTCGGCTTCCAATTAGTTACTGTTTGCTCCAAGTATTCTTTCCACGAGGAAATAATTGACTGGGAAAGAGCCAGGGAAAGATGTGGCAATCAAGAGAATAGTTCACTTGTCTCTATGGAAACCGAAAGAGAATGGCACTTTGTTATGAACTTAACCAAAAAGCGAAAAAAAGAGCGTTGGTTCATTGGTTTGAAAATAGTTGATGGATCGCATGCGTGGTGCTGGTTAAGTGGAAGCATCGCCTACGTCAATGAGAATTCATCAGGAACATGGCGTTGGAATAAAGGAGAACCAAACAATCTTGAAACAGAAAAATGCGTAGAGATGTTGCAAAACGGAAAGTATAACAACATGATGTGCCGGGGAGAATATTATGATGAAAATCCAGGATATATATGTGAAAAGCAAGTCAGTAAGTTTGACTCAATTACAAATCACAGTAAGAAAAAAGAAAGTTGTAAGCGAAATTTGACTTTTAAGCGAGTAACTCGTATTCATATTTTCTTCCTAGTTTGTTCCGCCATATCTAACAAATCAGAAAATGATGCTATCTTAATTGAAGGAACAGCAAGACCTCGATCAATCCCCCAACCGTTGGCGACAACGACAAAGTCTTTCACACTTAGAACTGAATTGATGATAACTCGAAATAAGCTGCTTTCAGAAGGTAAGATTTACTTTGACCGAAATTTGACATTTAATATGACCCTACTCTATTGCGCAGTTCTCGTCGGGTGTCGCAGTTCCAAACTCCCCTCCGTTCCCGGCCCACTTTAGAAAGGAGAAAACACTAAATATGCATTATATATTGTAGCGGAACTCGCAGAGCGACGCCCCATAATTATACAAAATAGTAGTAACCCATCAAGCCGAAAAAATTTGGATGTACGACCGAACGACCACAAGGTACTACTTTTAACATGCGTGGTCAAGTGTACCGCGGGCACGCCAACGCCACGGCTTTGTTCAGTAGTCCAGTGGTCAGTACACTAGGCTCCGAGTCGGACGACTCGGGTTCTATTCCTGGCCGGGGCAAGGCGTTGAGCCTTTGAGACGCGCGGGATATATGGTATGGAGATCTCGCAGTCCTTCAGAAAATGTAAATCAGCAATTTGCTAAAGGCGGCTTTGATGGAAATATTAAAACAACGGTTGATTTTTTCACAAAAGTTGTAAATTTATCGAAAAACGTTGTTTATTCAAACTATCATTCAAGCCAGAGTAGCAACAAACCATGTCAGATTGTTCACTTGGTTGCCCTGTTGACCCTTACAAGCTAGTGGTCAACCGGCTCGCGAACATCAGAGTTTGCATTGCTAAGTATCGCTGTCATTTGTATTTCAATCACCGATGCAAAGAAAACAAAGTGCTTGGCCATTGAGTTTGAGATTTCGGCCTCCTGTGCGGAGTGCTAAGGGAAAAAAGCTCATGGTCTGTACTGGTTTTTCTTTCTGAAGTTGCGAATAGATGACTGCCAGTTCTATACAGTATTTGCGTGCATTTTTCTCTCGTTCACTCAGTGAACGCTCTGCTTTGATCAGCAACTCCGAAACCTCGTGGGACGAGGAGTTATGCTGTTCGAAAGAACAACAGACGTTTATCAAACAGAGTGAGGAAGGAAACTCCGCAATTTGCTCTGTAAGAGGTCCCCTGTTACTTCAAGCTCATCTCTGAAAGATAAATGGGTCATGAACCTTCCTCCAAGCGATTATCCGCGTTGGAACGGAGCGGTTCAGAGAAAGGTCTCAAGTTTGCTATCAATGCTAGCAAAAGACCGACTGCTGAAATCTTCGCTGCTTATGAGGAGGGTATTTCTCAACTCAACGACGACCATAGACACTCGGTAAGAGCAGAAGTAAACAGCATACTCAGGCGAGCTAAACTCCTCCCAAAAACATTCAAAATAATGTTTTTTAGACTCCTACCTCCAAAATGGTCTTAACCTCATTCAGTGCATGTGCGACAATGCATATGTGATGTCATACGCACAATAAAAAAAGTCACGAACTTAAAAGATCAAAGGGATTATTATGCACCTTTCTGGTCGTGGATACGAAAAGCGTATAAACAACTATTGTTAGGGGTCATAATATGCAAATTTGTCACTCACTCAGATGTAAACAAGTCGATAAGTCAACGGCAGACTAATTGATCTCGATTTTCCAACCGATTTAGCGCCCGAGTCGACCAGTATCTTCTGATTTGCAGTGAAATATCCCTCCTGGTTACCCACCTCTACTGAGGCAAAGAACTGTACAAAAAAGGAATAAATGAACAAATTGATTTGTCGTTGGAGTAAAGTAATGTTTTGCAGGTTCAGCGTTCATAACAATCAATTTCATGAACTTTAGATACTATATTGTAATAGGGGAGTGGTTCCATAGGTCGTCTGCATCTTAATTTTGGGCAGACATTTCTGCCACATAAGATACGCGGAAATATAGATCAATGGAGCGTTCAAGTTTGTGTATGTAAAGTTGCAATAAAATGTGCTATTGAGAAAATTTCCTTTAAGGAAGAAAAAAAAAGATAACCGATTCTTCTGGGTGGGTTTGCGGATAAGAGCTTGTGCAAAATGCTAAGCCTACAACTCAAAATTTTCAGCTGCACCAAATGAATTTCACTACTATAACGTATATTCTTTTGATTACTTCGCATCATGCCAAAAATGAAAAAAAAAAAATCCATCATAATTAAAAAAAATAAAAAAACAACAACAACAACAGCATTCCCGGCCCCTTAAAATTGAAATAACTTCGTTTAAGGCCTGTTTTTCGTTTGTTATCTGTTGTCTGTGTCGTTGTATTTTGTTTTGACAAAATGAAGGGCATAGTGCTTAAAAAGAAGGTTTTAGGAAATTTTCCCACATCGAAAACAAAGCAAGAAAAAAACAAACAGAATAAACTTCTGTCAGCTCTGTTCCTTAAACAAATCTTCATTTCAACCTGATTGAACACTTCGACAGTATCTGCTCTAAATTGAGGTCAACAGTAAATTAGCGGAGCTCCAGCGTAGCCCCATAATTATACGAAACAGTACTAACCCATCAAGCCAAAAAAATTTGGTTGTACGACCGTACCACCGTTCAAGGTGCTACTTTTAGCGTGCGTAGCTTGGATACCCCATTAGTGTGCGCCAGGAGACACCGTCAGATGATGATAAAGCGCACATACTCGAACGTCGAGCTGCAGTGTAACGTACTGTGGGCACACGGTTAGGCATTGCACGAGGGCTTCACGTGAGTTAGAAGATGTGATTTGCCACCCGCGTTTTGAGCGGGGATTCAAACTGGTCAGGATGTAGTTGAGCAGTAATTCTCAGTATTTTGCAATTTCGAAACAACTCGTAAGGCAATAATACCGGCAGATTTTTAAAGAAAAGCTTAAAAGCTTTGTCAACCGGAGGAAATTGTTATAATTCAAGTTCGTGGAGAGAGAGTTTTAATTGAAAATAGGCTGGATATAAAGAGACAGAGCGACCAAAGAAAGCAACAAGTAAACGGCGTAAAGCGAGTCCAGAAAATCGCGCAAGAAAGTTAGAAATGACGCCAAAATAGGCAGAATACGGCGAGAGGAACGCGAAAGAGAATAATAAAGGGCATAAGTAAAAAGGCGAGTTTCTAGCGAAGAGTAAAGCGAGAAGGAAATACAAAGTCGCTCCTGAAAACAGACTGAAACGAGGTCATCAACAAAGAGAAGCGAACTACAAAGGATCCGCGAAAGAAGAGGAGGTAAGTCGTGTCCTGGCTGGGTTTTCTCTTACGCTAAGACCCAGAAATGTTTTTTTTTTTTTACCAATCGTCGTTTGATACCAGCTTCAGTTTTTGATTCAACTGATCACGTTTCGGTTAAACATTGACTCTAACATTCATCGCCTAAAGACTCTCACGCCAGTTCATCGCTTGAATAATATTTCATAGTGTTCGTATTCTTCAAGTTATTTCTTGTCCTTTCGTTTGAAAGTTTAATACAGTCGTGGTGTTGTGGGAAAAGAAATTATCTTACGTATTTTGTTTTGCCTAGAAAGTTTTCAAATGATGTCGAACGGCGAGCGCAAGTTTCTACTTTTTTTTCTCTTCAGTTAATTATCGCAGGATATACTCTATTCATTTGAAAAATTTGCGCTTTGCCGAAGATGTATTGTTTTACTCTAAGAACGAAGTAATGGCCTGTACGATCTTCAGTGAACACACGCCATGTTCGATAGAACATGTTTATTACAATATCACGTGATACAATGTAGGTTCGCACTGCGTGCGGAGGAACGGATACTACATCCCTCCCAAACTAAGAAAAGCTTGTAACTCTAAGCGAAAGTTCAATCTTATAACGAAACTAAAATCAACTGTCAATAAGTGTCTTTGTTAAGTTAGCACATAGTCTTTCAAATGTGAGGGCTGGCGCCTTTCCCGTCTGGGTCTCGTCACTACTGGTTTATTCACTGGCTGGTCAGGCTCTGTTCCTTGTTTCCGTTCAGTTTTATGTTCCGGTATTACCCATATCTCTGTACTGGGTGGTTTCTCTGCATTTGCTGTTGTATCAGGTGGTACACTTGGTGGATTCACCTTCTCTGGGATCTCGAGGTCTGGAACTGCCTGTGGTGTTTGTGCTTCCTCACTTTTCTCTGGTTCATCGGAGGTGTTGATAACTGCATTTGCTAGCTTAAATTGGCTGGCATCTCGGCAGACTGTTCGTCCATCTGTGACACGTCTGGCGGTTATTTGGGAACCATGAATATTGCACACAACATAGAACACAGGTTCACAGGGTGTACTCCACTTGTTCTTCCTTGGCTGCTTGACAAGCACATAGTCCCCTAGTAGCAGATTATTCTCTCTGGTCTTTCTCCCTTCTCTCTGTTGCTTCATTTTCTGCTTGTACTCTGCATCTCTGCGGTCAATTAAGTCATACTTCTCATTCCTTTGTGGTTCAGGTTCAATGTAATCCAACTTCGTTCTCACAGATGTCCCCTTAAGGGCTTCATAAGGTGCGACTCCAGTAGCTGGGTGCGGTGTCGATCTGTAAGCAGTAAGCATGTCTTGAACCGCATTTCTCCTCTCAAGACGGTTTTTGCCTTGCAGACTTACAATTTGTTCGGTCTTGTTTAGGGTTTGCATGAATCTCTCTACTTCTCCGTTGGCTCTTGGGTGAAGGGGCGTCACCCTATGGTGCTGAAATCCTTCCTGCTCTGCAAATTCATTGAACTCTTTAGAATTGAACGGGGGTCCGTTGTCGCTCTCAATTCTCCTCGGAGTTCCATAGGTGGCGTAGATGTGCTTCAATCTCTCCTTATTAGTCTGAAAGTCAGTCGATGGTACTGACTCTACCACTGGATATCTGGTTCTTTTGTCAATCAGGACGAGATTGTAGTGACCATCTGGGTATGGTCCACCATGGTCAATGGATACTGTGT